TCCTCATGCATGCTGCTCTGAGGCAAACCTTGAAGACCTGGTCATATATAACACAAGGGCAGTGGATCTCACTAGGCTTTGGCTAAAGATGATGGGCAGTGCATGGAACTACAGAAACCAACGTAGCTGTTCTGTAACTCCTCTCAGGCACTATTTCCCAGATATTTGCTGCACTTGTCTGCTGCATTTTCTTTCCTTTCAGGCTGCAGAAATAAGAAGGCAACCTGGCTCTGCTTGTGATGCCTCTTAAAGCACATGTCAGCACAGAGCCAGATGGGAACATCAGGGCCTTTCTGAAGATGCACTGTACAGTGATGTGGCAGTACATGGCCTTACCTGTTCTTGCATGTGCTCATAGCCCTCTCCCCTACCCCCACCTTAGGTTTCTGAGAGCCAGCAAATGGCCGTATGAAGCACTTGAGATTTATTTGGTGAGCTGAGGATTGTATACAGCACCAGACTCACTCCTGTGTGTGCACTGACAGCAGGATTAATGCCCTGGGCTGCCTCCTTTTAGACTCGTACAAAGACTTGTGGAGCTGTGGACACAGCTCCTGGTCAACAGCTTGACACCACAAGTCCTGAACACCCACAGGACTGAAACAGAAGGGAAGACAGAAACAAAGCATCCCATCAGCTATGCCTGCCCTGGTTCACCATATCCAAGAAGACAGACCCTCCTCAACCAGATGCTGTCCACAATGCTCTTCCATATGATTTTGATTTAAGATCAGTCTGCATTGTTCAGCTTGAATTTCTGTTGTTCTCCATGTGGTAGGTTTAGTGCTGCAGGATCAGAGCCAGGCAATGTTTTGGGAAAGATTTATCTGTTTTCATCTAAGGTGGCCAACATGAAGTAGAATTCTTGCACGTGTTTCATGCTGGCACTGCCCTTCAGATTCATTTTAGCTTCTTTCTCAGTTCAGAGCAAGAAGACTTCTTTATGTTGCCTCTTTAAAAAAAAAAATCCTTTTTTAAATCAATGTGCCACATTTACACACATTCTAACTAATAACATATACATATTTTTTTCCATGGGTTTTTATATAGTTTTGACATTGCCCCTGACTTTGGTGCTATTTAACCAAGATTGTCTCCAGTGGACAGCAGGGAGGGAAGGTGGTGTTGTCCACAGGTAGGTCTTCCTGCACAGGCGGGAGCTGGGTTCTACTGTTGGGAACACCCAGCACCAGTGCAGTGCCTGTCTGTGAGCTCTGCACAAAGCTTTTTACACTCCTGTCCTTTGAAAGATGCACTTTAAAAATAATATTGTATCTGTATTTTTGTCTGCTACAGAAAAGTCGCAAAAGAAACAGTAAGTAAATTAAATACTCTAATACCAGGATTTTTTACTGGAGATGTTGATCTTTCTTTAATCTTCAGTCATTTTGCTTAAAGACAGAGGAACAGTAACTCTTTAGTACTCTTATGTGCTCCCACACAACTTTAGCAGAATTACATTCCTGCATGCTCTGAAAAAATGCTCAAAAACAGAATGTAAAAGCTTTTTTGAGCTTGGAATTATAATTACTATAGACATTGATGTTGGCTCTTTACAAATATTTGTACACATACACTTTGTAGGGCACAAAAGCACATTTAAAATGAAAGTACTCATAAGAGTAGAACAGCTAAAAAAGAGTTATAAGCCTGAGTGAAGCCAGTTTCTGTGCACAGTAGGACACTGGTCAAACAATTTATACTAAAGGCTTTCCCTCTGAAGATCCTACCAAACATCTGAGGTAAACCATAGTATCTTAATAAATTCCAAAACTGGCTCAAGAATCAGAAACAAAAATGGAAATTGAAATTCTGTTTATTCTAACTCTGTACTTTGTATGACAAAAGGTATTATTTCACCTTCCACAAGAAATCAATCAAGTATTACAGTCTTATTACTGTAATAATGTCTCTAAGGAAAAGTGACATTTTGTCTTGATACATCAGCTAGCAAGGAAATCCAACGGGTTGCACAATAAGGAATTGTAATTCCAAGCCTATCAAAATTAACAAACACTTTTATTGACTCTACTGAATTTTGATTTAAGCTCCACTAAGTTTCCAGCTATTTTCTGTTCAAAGCCATTTTCACTCCAAATTTTTTACTGTGAGAAATTCCATGGTGATGAAAATGAAGGCCTCAGGGCTACAAATACATAAGTGCATGTCATTACTGATGTGCATGCAAAATATTTATTGCATTAAAATTAAAGACATTATCATCCTGTATCACTGGAACTCAGCACTGTATGAGCTAAATGAAAGACGTGCTCTGTTCTTATACAATATATTATCTTAACTACATAAACCACAAGGTGTTAGCTGGTTCTTAAGTACATACCATCGACAATTGATTTTAAAATATTAAAATCTTTATTCCATTTCCTACCTTGCATTTTCTGAGAATGAAAACAACCCATGAACTTCCAAAGAAATAGTTGGAAACTTTTAAAACACAGCCGCTGACCTTTTCCAGAAGAAGCAAAAATATAGAGCATTGCCCAACTTCTTGGAAGTGGAACATCAAAAGAGCTTGTGCATATAACACATCGAGCTGTAGAGCTGGCAAAAATCAACTGCCATGTCCAGATATGAAACAACATAAAAGCACTATCATTTTTCAACATTTTACAGTTGCCATTACAGGCATTTTGCTGTAAATCATCTGCATCAAATAGCAAGCATTATTCTGCTGGAGTAAGAGAATAAAATGCTTATCTGATCATTGGTAGATCATCTGACACTTGCTGAGAACAGCAGGCTATCACCTGGGGTATAGCACTTCAGTCCAGATGAAGGCACCACTATCAAGAGAGCTCTGCACAACATGTGTTTCTGTTACGGAACACATGCTTCAAGAAAATAAGACCCTGAATATATCTGTCAGCTTGGCGCCTTTGAACCTTTTTGGGTGAATACTGCATTAAGTATCCAGTCTCTCTGATGAAACCACGGCTCTCTTGGTGTGAGAGGCTGAAGTTCTGTCACTGAGCCTATAGGACAAAGATTTAAACTTGTCTCTTCCCACTGCAAATATCAACCAGCCATTAAATCCATGCATGCTCAACTCTGAACCTTATAGCTTGCATCCTCTACAATATATTCAGTGTAAACTTTAAAGTGTATTATGCTGGTTTTAAAGACGAGAAAACATCCTGTTCCCTTCTGCTATATCTCAACAGGCCAATATGATGTGTACGTATCAGGATTTAACCTGGAGAAGTTTGGGCTGAGATCACCACATAAAGATCTGTGAACAATAAGTCTTTATAAAAATGAGAATAATAAGCCTCCACATTTCACATGACTCATACTAGAATCAAATTTTGCACTCATATTTTACTCACTTCCATCAGTAAAGCAAAAAAAGACTAAATTTTATCCATGATATTAGACACCAGAATAATAATCTCCTTTTAAGTTGCTCCCCATGTTCACTGCATTGACAATGGGAAACAAATCAAGTGTATACTTCCAGCATTCATTGTTCATATAACAACCCACAGCCATACTAATTTCACTCTGCAAAGAAGGCAAGTTTAGTTGATATTCAACTAAAGGGTCTGTAGGGATTACCAGGTAATTTCATACCCTGTACCTGATGCTCTGTGAGGTGGCAAAACCTAGCATGGCAAGCAGACCCTTCTGAAAATAAGGGTCTCAAGGAAGTTTAATATAAATAAACATTGCCAGAGACAACCGGTAAGCTTGTGTAAGGGGACTGCTGACTAGAAGGAGATCTCTGACTTGGGAGAAAGAACATTTTGTACCTTTCACAAAAAATTTCCTCCAGAATTGTTTTACTCCAGACCAGGTAATTAGATAGTCGCTTTCACAGTTTTGTTGTGTTCTCCTGGGTGAAAAATCCATCCAGATTGCAATAACACAGTCCACACACGAATGCAGCAGGCAATTATTTTAAAATGGAATCAGTATCACATACCAGCAACTTCCACAGCAAGCAATAAACATATTTCCTTTAGGTATTATTCCAGGAATTTACACTAGAAACACCGGAAAGACTGATCTCAATATTTTCACCTATAAAAACTTTTGCAGCCGAGAGCAGAATGACCAAATAAATGTGCTTCACACAAGGGTATCATTTTCAGTTACTTACTGCTGTGCTTCCCTCGGGGAGCTTTGCTGGCTGCACTTTATAGGGCATGTTCTTAACTTTGAAGGACACATTGGAAGAAAGAGTATAGGGATCATTTTTCCTCTGAAATTAAATAAATAGAAGAAATTATTAAAAACCGTATCTGAACCTTAAAGCATGACGTGAAATAAGCAGATAAGAATTGATTTCCTAAAGCAAAGATAGTTTCTTTTAGTAAAGGGTCCCAGGTTCCTGTGCGCATCCACAAGTTTCAGGATAATGCTGAAATACAGAATGCACATTCAAAGTGGGTACAAAGGGTTAGACATGCAGAACAGCACATGCAGTTATTCCTCATATTTCTCCCTGCAACATGGGACTGGTGAGCTTGAAGCAGAGGTGCCTATGTTTTAAAATCTTTCCTCTGCTCAGGAAGGCCATCTAGAACCAGAGGTATCTTGAGAAAATGTCCAGGCCCACATTGAGACCAGACTGGAAAGGCTCCTTGTTGGCATCAGAGGTACAGCTCTGCACTCCCGTCACGGAACAACAATAGGAACCAACATCTTTGCACTTCACTTACAGTGTGATTGATTTCCTATTGCAGTACTGTTCAAAAACACCAGAACAACCCACCTTGCTTTTTTACTACACCATGCAAGTGCAACATCAACGTTTAGTTGTTACTGCTTAACAGGCTGCCTAATAAAATTTTTTACACAGCTCTCATTAAGCACTTCAGTGTAGCTAAAGATGCTCAGACTAAACAAATTGTAGCTGCCTGTTCTTTGTATATTTCATTTAGATTTGTTTGCATTTATTAGATATTAGATTACATATTAGAGTAGAGTAGGCTAGGCTAGGCTAGATTAGATTAGGCAGCATCTTCTGCTATTCACACAGCTCATGCTGAGACTTTTAATTAGTCCTGTCTCCTCATCTGCCAGCCAGACAGGCACTGACAGCCTCCACCCAACTGTTTGCCTCACAGTGCAGTTCTGCCCTTGACAACGACCTCCCACCCTCTGCAAACTTCTCAACATGGTAGCTAAGTGCAAAAATCTCTACTGTTAGGAACCAGTGTAAAACCTGACACAGGAAGGCTCCTGCGCCTTACAAGAATCTTACTGATTGCAACATTTACTCTAGGGAATACAAATACTTTCCACACAAATACTTTGAATCCTTTCGAGCTCTTGGCACCATCAGTATCTAATTGGAATTGATTTCGAAGGCTAGGTATACCATCTATCAAGTTAATCTTCCAGAACTCTTTGAAGTCTTTCATTTTCACTGGATGACACATCGTTATAAAGCAAAGATCTTGCAATGTGTCTACCTCCTTTCTTGTTTTTATCCCAAGGAAGGATGCCTGAGGGGTTACTATGCTCCTCTGGAAGCCAAGGAACCTGTTTCACATTCCACATCCGCAGCTGGTTGTTCTGGGTGACACTGCATGCAACTCATCATTCATATCTCATGCAAAGTCAGGGTAATGATAAGAATTTCCAGTATAAGTACTTCAATTTGCTCTGAAGAGAATTAAATGAGGCCTTGGAGTTATGATTATCATTATGTTCCTTTACATTACATTCCTTGAGGTAAAAAATTAATCATATATAAGAATATTTTGGAAGTACTTAATCGTTCTTGCTACCTGCCTCAATCCTTTATGAAACATCACAATTAAACACAGTATTCCAATACTGATTTATGGAAAGACAGAGCCTTGTTGGTAAAGTAATCCCTTGTTTTGGCAGCAGCTACTTACAGAGTACATTGAGTAATGGGATGAATTTTAAATTATCCCAGTAACCTGAGCCAAGTATAAATTCTACCTTATCCATTTTGCAAAGTTCAGTTGCCTCTTGCGCCCCTTATAATCTTTGTGCACTTAGAAAATTTCTCCCATCTTCAAGGCAGACTAATGTGGAAATACTGAAAGCCATTTCTCATCTTCTCAAGTCAGATTTGTTATTTAATAACTGATGAAACCTGCAGTATTTCCATTTTTAATATTTCCTGTGATTTTTTTTCTGTACACTATACTGTAAAGTGCTTTATTGCTTTCTAAATCATTAAATTCATTCTAACCATCACACTTACTAGTTTTTTTTTGGTTTTTTGTTTTTTTGTTTTTTAAATTGACTGTATTCATACTCACTGTATTTGGAATGACCCTGTCATTTCCTAAATCACCTTCTGCAAAACTCTTTCTCCCACTTTATATTTTTGGCACATTTAGGAGTTCTGTTCCACTGACAAGACTTAGCTCCTTCCTGATTATCCAAAATCTTTTCCTCCCTCCTAAGTGTTGTTTTCCTCTGAAATTTCCTGTTGCATCAAAAGATTTAAAACCTTTCCATTTAAGAAAGGTTTCTCCCTTTTCAGCTGTTTTATGGAACAAAGATTAAGACAAAAAGATTCCACGGTCTACTCTCTTCTTCACTGAATAAGAATGATATCTTTGTAAACACGACAAGAAATAACCTACATCTGGAAGATGGCTTGGGTGAAGGTGGATGGTCATACCCAAACTCAATTTTCCCAGAATTGCTGATGTTGGAAGACACCTCTGGAGATCATCTAGTCCAAGAACATGCTCAGAGCTGGGTCAATAAACAGGATGCCCAGGGCCATGCTAGCTGGATTTTGAATATCTCCAAGAATGGAAACTCCAAAAACTAAAAGCAACCTGTTTCAGTGTTTTTTTTTTGTTTGTTTGTTTTTGTTTCTGTTTTTTTTTTTTTCTTTTTTTTTTTTTTCTCCTCCTCTTCCACAGAGTACTTTGGTATTCCCAACTCAGTCTCTACCCCAGGTCAACTGGCTGCTTTCACTTCTTGCATACATCCTTTTTACCCCCGAGTTTTACCAGGAACTCCTAGTTCTCCTATGCAGAGCTACTGCTACCTTTGCTTGATTACTTAGGATGGATAATGCTTGAGAATCAACTCACTTTCCTGGAGAAGAGTTCTCCAGGATCATCCCCCTTGCAGTTCTTCCAAGCAGACACCTGAAAAGGCTGAAGCCTTTTCTCCTGAGGTCCAGGGCTGTAATTCTGGTATTTGTCTTGTCCTTCCTGTTTTGCTTTTAGACAAAAACCTTGCGTTCAAATATATGAACATTTGTTAGTGACATTAAGCCAGCATATTTATTATCTTCTGGAATTCATTTGCCTGTACATTAATTTTGTTATTTCAAAGTTATGAGAGCAGCTGAACATGTATTACCGGACATTCAACCTCTCCTTTGAGCTTATATTAGGAATGAGCAATAGGAAGAAAATTGCCTTATGAGACTACATAGGAGAAGCCAAAATCAGCTCTTTAATACAGATGGCACCTAATGGAAGGAACTATATCTTCTATCATCAATGCTTGAAATAAAAAATAAGCTGACATAATATTAGGCTTAGAAAATAAACAATTACTGTAAACTTTCATGGTGCTTAAAATCTATGAAATTGTCTTCAGAAAAATAATGCTTTCTTCACCACATTCCTTATTTTCCACTTCCAGACTCAAGGCATTCTCCAACTTCTATATGAGATTCCAAGCGTTGGACTCTTCCACAAAACCCCAGTGTGTTTCTGTAGATGTACAATTATTCGCGTTCAGATTCAGAACTCCTTCTGCCTGAAAAAAAGCCTCATGTTTTCAGTTCTAAGCAATTCATATTAAGCAGGATTCTGGCTATGATTTATAAAAATAATCTGCAGTGGAGAGGGCAGGAAATATTAGAGTATTAAAGAAGTATATATTAGGCAGACAGACTGATTGGCTAAGGTACAGAGAAGGAATTAACTCCTGAAATATCCTACAAAGAAAGGCAAAACCCATAGGAAAACAAATTCTTTCACCTACTACACATGGCTTATTTCATTTTCTGCTTATATCAGCAACAAGAACATCAGAGGCAGAGGAGGATACTTTGTGATTTAGTGCTTGGTTGGGGTTAACAACCATGGGTTGTGCCCACTTCTATCAAGTGTTCTCAACCCATCATTAGGCTCTTGGAAATGCTGCACATCTCCATTACTTTATAAGAATGGGGAATATAAAAGAGTATTTTCTTGCATTCGCAGAATTCTTTGCTTGTGGCAAAGAGCTTTAAAATGATGACTATGGTCAGCATCAGCTGGGAATAGGATTTTACTTGTACCAACACCTTGGAGACAGGCAGCTTGCAGTTGTGTTTATAATTCTCAAGTCATTTGAGAGAAACAGCATTTCTTTATGCATATAATTGAGCATATAATTTTAGCATATAATTTTTTAAACAGTGTATATTTAAATATTCAGTGCTTACTGGAAGAAGCAGGACTTGTGGTTTGCAACTCAACTGAGGGCTCCATTATGGCTCAGAGAAAAGGAAAGAAGGAATTTCGTCTTAGAGGATATCAGTGCCTTAATGATCAGCAGGAGGAAGCCCAGCCCTGGCTACATCAGCCTTCTGAAGTTCCCGTGGTGGCCAAACAACTGAGCCTGCCCTGTGCATGTGGCTGACACAGCTATTTGTCCAGACCCTAGCTAGGTGGTGGAACACAGCCATTCCCTGGGCTGCCTGGGTGGCAGATCCCTGCTGCTGCATTTGCTAACGCTTCCCTCTTTCCACACACTTCTGTTTTATACAGTTTCTGTTTTAAACAGTTTCAACTGAAACCTTTGTTTTCTTTAATAGTTGTGAGACACAAGAAGCAGCCAGAAATGAAGGAAAGCATTCTCCAAAAATATTGAATGAAGTATTTCCCTAGATACTATTGAGATGAACAGAAATAGCACAGGGAGTGCTGGAAACACTTGGACAACTCAGAAGAAAGTTCTCCCAGTTCTGGCAGAAAGCTGGCAGTTTCTGCAGGAAGCTCAAGCAAGCACCTGAGCTCTCCTGACATCTTTAAGGAACACTGAGGCATCTTTGTCACAGGACAGATTGACATGCAAAGGGTGAAGGGTAGCTAGACTGAGAGCAGGAGGAATAGAACCTGTAGTAGTGTGAGGAAGTCTGACAGCTGATTGCTTTTCTGCAAGTTTGAGGCATTTCACTACGAGAGATACTCCCCAGAATGACCCTGTCTCTCTGTGTCTGTGGAGCACCGTTCAGCTTCTCTGAAATATGGTTTTCTGGTTAGATGCAGCCCAGTGAAGCTGTTCTACCTGAAGAGCAGGCACTGTCTGTACAGCAAGTTGCGGTGGAATTTCTCTCCAGAGCTGCTATCTCCTACAGACAGAATTCAGTGCCAGTGCAGCAGTATTGGCCCTCCTGATTCATACTTTTTCCCCCTGTGTCCACCACAGCCTGGCACATTTTAGAGAGGAGACAGTAAGCAATATGGTGTTACCTTTTAAATGTATGCTTAGGGAATTTATTAGTTTGCTTTCTTTGACCCACACCTTCAAAAACCTTAACAACTGCCAACAAGGAGTAGCTTACATAAATGCTGAGGGTAGAGGCCATGCAATTGTTTGTTCTTCTATCATATTTAAAAGAATGCACCTATTACTGTGTGCATGGTGAAAAAGTCCTATTTGTACTAAAATGGCAAACCTATGCTTTTGAAAAAGATAACACTACTTTGAAAATCAACACCTTCTCATCTCTATCTTTAATCCTTTATACTTGACATACTGTATCTTTTAAATGACATACTATATTATTTAAATGGAGTATTTTAAATTATAATAGAGGCAGCTACTTTCTGTGATTTCAGATCACTTTAAAATGATTTTAATGGTTATCAGTTTAAGATGTTTATTTTTCCATAAACTTAACCTAACGTATACCCTAGCACATCTAGCAAGATCCTTATGTTCTGCTCTTGTTAACATTTTGACATTATTTTGAATAACAATAAATGAAAACAAAACCAGTCCACACCCAAAAGAACATCCAGCTGGCTTAGCCCAATGCCAAAATCTCTCTTTCTAGCCTTCACTTCAAATAAACAACCAAATCCAGCACAATATGGTATTTTTGGCCACTCACTCTTTTCTTTTTTACTTATTTTGTTTTCTGAAATAACAACAATTGTTTGACATAAAGGCAGATTTCTCTGACAACTTCCTCCTTTTGTTATTATTGTATGTGTCCTGAAGGTCACTGCATCAAATTTATGACTTTTAGTCCTCAGTCTGAATGAAACTAATCCAGTTCTATATATGGCCATGGTCTGCCTATGGCAATAGGGACAGACAACTTCCATCAGTTCACCTTAGCTCTGATTTCCAGCCCTCTACAAACACCACATGTGCAACACCAGACAGTTTGCATGGCCCCTCTTCACCATCTTCTGCATCTGTGTAGTTACACTGACTCCTTGATAGAAAGGCACTGCTGGAAAAGAGGATTCCTACCACACTAAGAAGAGCTTCTGAATTCACCAGTAATAAAATATTGAGAACCTCAGCAAAATTTCTCATTAAGGAAGTGCATGTAATTACAGCATATACTCTAACAGCAACAATAGCTCCAGGTGCCAGTTAGTGCAGCTCAGTTTGTCTTTCTGAGGTGCCCCACTGTCTCTGTATGCTCAACACTGAGCCCAGGCTTTGGATTCCATTCTGAGGCCAGGCACTTAACAGCATGAGTGTTGCTGCACTCATTGCCTTTATTATGTGAAGCCTATACTTCCATATTTAGGCCTCTAAAAAGAAATGGGAGCAGTGCATGTTCAGAACACTGAAAAGACAAGTGTTTTACAGAGAATACCAAACCGTGCTTTGGCTTCTAAAAGAGCACCAGCTTACACAGTGGCTGCCATCTTTTTGTAGCTTTTGAGCTTTCTCTGATTATAACCAGATTTTTTTCTTTAATACCAATTAAAGCTCATGCAGTCAAGGGTGCCAAACTCAAATATCTGGGTCTCCGTAAAAGCCAACAGTGAAACAATACAATTAACAACAGCAAAAAGAAAATAAACTCAAAGCCTCTTGGGAAACTTGCTGACTCTGTTTTTTTCACATTGCTGCTTCCCCAAGAGCCCCAGAATACTGTTATCACTTGTGAGGAATTTTCAATACAGGCTGAAACAGCAGCTAAGGATGAACTGCCCATAAGGCTGTAAATGTCTGAACTGCTTGGAGCCTGGAAGCGTGCCTTTAAATCAGACATACGGTGCAGATGCACCATTTAGAAATTCATTTTCCAAACTCCTGAGCATTACGTTAAAAAGTATCCACTGGAGTTCAAAGAACATTGGTCAGGATCCCCTTGGATCTACTGCTGATGAGTCAGGAATGCCACAATTAGACAAATGGGGACATCATAGTGCCCTAACAACACACAACAAAACTGTTTCTGTTTTGCATGAATCAGGCCACTATTTGCTAGATCAGCAAGTCTGAATCCAAAAGTCAGGGCTCACATTTACAGTCAGGCTTTGAAGTTAATCCAATAAAGGTCTGTGATTCTTCTTGGCCTTTGCACAACGTCTGCCTCTATCTTTGTTGGCTGCTTGGCAAATTCGGGCTGCTTTATTTACTTAAACGTGTCGACTCTTAGCATATCATTTAGCTTCTATTTGCTATAGGAGTTTAGGCTTCAGGGTGAGAGATTACAACTGTCAAGAGGCAAAGGGGTCAGTTGTTGCCAAATAATCTAAGTGGAACAGGAAGGAATCACTCACTACAAGATGGATCTTCTGTGGCAACAAAATACACAGGCTCATCCACAGAGCTTCAATGAGAAACATGGATTATTTCATCCGAGCATTAATTGATTCAAATTCTTACCAGGTTTGCAGTAACATATCTATAAGGCGACATTAGCATGTCTATGAGAAGAAAATGCATACTGACAGTTTGTACTCAGCTTTAAATGAGCACAACAGTTCTTCCAGAGACCAGCCTATATTCACCTGGATTATAACACAGTTGTGGAACGCTGCATGCCACCACCATCCTGCCTTCTTTGGCGTATGAAAATACTGTGCATTAAGTGCATGTACAAAAGCATTTGGGACGCTGCTGTGCAGAGAGCAACTTCTCCTCCAAGCTTCTGCACAAAAGCATTAGTGTGGGGTCATTGTGTCCTGCCTCAGCACCACCACATCCTACTTTGTATCTTAATCCTCAATTTGAATCTGCAGATTTCAAACGTGCTCACAGCAGCAGTTTTCTGAGATGTACATCACTTTCCTTCTGGAGCAACTTTGGGAACTAAAAGATTACAGGCTTACCAACAGCAAAGAATGTCCTTTTTAGGAAACTAATTGTGTTCTGTCTTCTTTTATGGCGATGACTGACTAAGTGTTAATTTTAAAAGGGGCTTTGAAAAAAGCAACTGTTTTGAGGTGAGTGGGAGGAAGGCAATCAGATCCCACCACACTATTTGCCCTCTCTCTCTTTTCCCAATATATATGTTTGCATGTGAAGCAGGGGTCATGTTATTCTGGCAGCTTTTTAGACATAAGAAGGATGCAACAGTTCTCAGGGGGCTGGTTTTTATATGGAAAAAAATCCTGTTGCTGTAAGTGGAGTTTTCTGGGCCTTTATAAGGCCTGTAAGCTACTATCTGAAGGAAACAGCAACGTTTCCTGAGGATACAGATAAAATGCAAAATCCTCACAGCCCATTAAAAAAACAAAAACCAAAACTTGTTTGATAGCAAGGGTATGCAAAGACAGCGCAGCACCGAAAGATGTACCTGTATGGGTGTGTGTCATGGGGTCTCAGCACCCATAGAGACTACAGGCAGGCTCATCCCCATGAGGATGAGGATCCACCTCTGTCTCAAGCTTACTATTTGGAGGGAGATACAGTCATAACAGGCAGGCTCTGTTAAGGGAGAAGATGATGCTAAAGGGATTGCAGCATCCTCCCTGGCACTGCCTCTGTGTTTGCACACAACTGTGTCCCAAAGCACAGCTGTGACCTTTCTTCACCATTCAGATCAAGTCAGTAGAGAAGAGTGTTCTGAATCAACTCCATAAAACATCCTCTTCAAACACTTCACTTTCTTGCCCCCGTCCTTACACTGTTAGAACAGTAGCTCTGGTATATAACTTTCAGATGGCTAAAACAAAGTAAGATGAGTCTCACTGCTCCTGTAAAACCACACCACTAAATTTCATGCAGTTATCCTCTGCCTGAGACAGAGTTAGGCTTACTAACAAGAAAAAGCTCATATTTAAACTTTTTAAATATTAACTCTTCAGCTTACGGTCTAGAAAAATATTCTGTCCATTAGGAGATACTAAGAAAAGGAGACTGTGCCTATTGTAGCCAGTTTCTGCTAATGTTATACATCCTCTGTCACAACCAAATGTTTAGAGAACCACTCTCTGTTTCTCATTAAATTTGTTTAATCTCTTATAGTTATTTCCTGCTACATACAAAACTGGACTCAGAACACTCAGGAGACTAATTCCCACTGAAATAGCTGTAAATGGCCTAGAAAACCGGGGTCTAGGATCTATGCAAGGGCTTTCATTTACATGTTTTGTTTTTAACAAGACAAAGCTTTCCGCCCTCATAAATTTATTTAGATTTCACCTGCAGAATGATGAACAGAAATACCTGATTGTATCCTAAATGTGACAGGTCCAGATTCCAGTACTGTAGCTCACAAATGGAGTTAAGCTTTATCTTTTGTTTGGTAAGATGAAGAAGGTTCACTTGTAATATTACTTGGGCACAGCGGTGATCAGATTTACCACACATAGTTCTAGCTAAAGATAATCTCAGCCTATCTGGCTGTCTCAAAGTGTTAGGGACAGTGAAGTAGTTGGGCTAAGCTCTTAGATGAATTGAACAGGGGCTAGCCAGTGTACGAAGGGCCCACCTGCTCTCTGATTTCTCCAGGGAGACAAGTTGAATGAGGAAAAATTTATCTCTTTTCACACTTCCAGAAAAAGAAAAAATACACTTCAGTGGTGTGAAGAGCTCCACTTAAACCTCCTGTTGGAAGCTGAGCATTCTGTTGTTCTGTTAGGGTAAGAGGCACTGTGGAGATAAACCATTCCTCTCCCCCAGCTACAGAGAACACAGGAAGGCTACTGCACTCTTGGTAGAAAAACCAGGATTCTAAATTCCTTGAAGAAGGAAGGCAATAACCTATCAGTTCCATCACAGTAGGATTGCTGTTATTTCCCAATAACAGCAAACTGAAATGAAAACTTCTCAGTGTATTGTCCAGAGCTAAAGATATTCACTCAAACCCAAAGCGCTGATATTCTTATCATTCTCTTAGCACAATGCTTAAAGGTGTTATCTCCAAGAAAAACAAAACTTTCAGAGCACTACAGTAATGAAGATCTGGAAAATTTCACATTTCAAATTGTGATATATATAATGAGATTTTTTTATTTTCAAAAACAAGACACAATAATTTTATCGTCTCAATAGCATAGAGAGAATTCCCTCTGAAGGACCTTGTAAAAAGACAAATCCATGACAACCACATTATACTGAAGTCATGTGGCCAGCTACAAGTTTACAGCTCACATTCCAGCTCCTACAGAGATCTTCCATCTGGAAAGATGTAAAGAATGCAGAGCACCCCAAAGAACAAAGAATCCTAAGAGATGATTAATTGGGGCCAGTCCAGGAAAGTAGAAAAGAAAAGCAGTAAAGATACTTAAAAACCATCTTAGAATCATCAGGGAAGATCCAGGAGATGAGTTTGAAAGGGGCTGATAGAAGGTGAAGGGAAAGTAAGCAGCATGCACGTGACTTGAACAGGAGCTAGTCAGAAATTACCTTCAAAGGAAGTCAAACTCAGGGTTTTACACTGGGACCGCTTAATTTCATAGTTTAAATTTCTGAACATCTAATTGTACAATTAACAAATGTAAGAGTGGCCTGGTTAGGATGGCATTTTACAGGTTTAGTTCGAAAGATTATCATGGTGGAAAGAGACAATGAAAAATGAAATGCTCACCCATGTCCTAGGCTCACAATAAAAACTCCAAAAGGAGGGAGCTCCAGAAAGAAATCCTTCCCTAACGGCAGTCAGCCCTTAAATGGGTCTAGGAGAGATGGAGCCAGGCTCCATCCCTTCTGGTCACTCAGCTGAATTGCCTTCACCTGTGCTCCCATGGCTGACTCAGTGCTTGCCTCAGGTGATCAATCTGTGGTTCAGGCCATGACTCAGGAGTTCCCATACATTAATCAAATAAAAGACGTAGGGATCTGTGTCTACAGAATGTTTTTTGTTTGCATTACCTGCAGGAAAGTTTCAGCCCATAGCCGGGACCTGATTTTCAGTGCTGCGCTCTTCCCTCTTTCCAGTTGTCCCACACTGCAGGAAATGAGGATACACTTCACATTTGTACAGTTCTGGGTATAAAACAAAGGGAAGACATACTTTTGTTTTCAAGATGAATGAAATTATTTTCAAATGCTCGAAATTATCAAAACAAATGGACTTTTTCTTTAAAAGTTAAACAGTCTGAAACCAGTGATGTAAACTAATACAAATGAGATATGTCATGAGCCACTGTGAGAACATAAACCAAGAGGGAAAGAGGGAAACACCAAGAGGTGTTTGTTCCTTCAATTAATACAATTAACTACTGTAGTTAATGAAAATAAAAGTAATAGCTTTCACCAGTCTAGTCTGCAGAACTCTTAAAATGTCTGGGTACTCATCAATCTTTTGAAGCATGCATTCTATCTCCATTGATCATTTTTTTCTTTTCAACATGTATTTTTTCTGTCCTCTCTGCCTGAAGCCTACATTTATGTTCTTAAATCTTTTCCCTCTTCCAACTCTTCCAGTTTTCCTACTGATATTTACATTATAGCAGCCAGAACGTTTGCTAAGATTCATTAGTTTCCTTATTTAAAACTCGTGGCCCATGAAATGCTGCTGATGAGCAGTGATTCTGGCTTATACACAGACATGAAGGTGAAAGTAAAGTCAAGTAACTCAAAACCACGTAGTCTGTTAAAGTCTGCCAGAAGAATGTCACAAAAAATGCTAAAAGCTGACTGGAAGCCATGGAAGGGAATGAGCAAAGTCCTGTGGGAAACCCCAGAAATTATGGGGTTGTTTGGGGTATAAAGGAAGGCAGGTCTCATAGAAAGACAATTATGTTACAGTTTGAAAAAAAAAAAAAAAGTATTGTTGTACATATACAAATGAGTTTTACCTGAAAAGTTTTGATTTCATTCCAGAGGAAGGCTATGGTTTTATCTGACTCATTTTTATAACAAAGCAGAGATTCCTCTTCTTATGGATGCTTTTTATCAATTCTCCTGACAGGAAATCTTGAGACCTCAATGGCAAAAGTTATTTCTCACAAGTGTGTTCCTTTGGGGGAGGAAGAATGGCTGCGCTACCAGAGCCCATACTTCAGAAACTGAGATGATGGCAGATGTAATAGACTTGAAAACATTGTTAAGGAATCCTGTATCTTTATGGACAGCTTTTCCCACAAATTCTACCTTATTGCAAGAAGCTAAATACTTATGCACTGTTCTCAAAATCTGCCTGAAAATGAAACTGGAACTTGCAACTATTCACTTTTTTTTTGGTTTTTTTTTTGTTTTTAAATGAGTATTTCAGAGTATCTGTTTATTTGACTTTTCATATTTAAACATCCTCCAGCCAGATTTATTTATCTTGCAGGAAGGAGGAGAGCTGTATTCATTAATCATAGTGGCCAAAACAACATATTAACAAAATAAATTATTAGTATGCAAAAATCTACTTTTGGCTGACATTCTAGGGCCGGAACACATATTTCTATGTAGTAATGCATTTAGTCCATAGTGATTTTTAGGAACACCGTAACAGAAGAACTAATGGAAGAGTAAACCTAATGTTTAACAAACTGTACAAACAGCAGAAGTTGTTCTCAGAACATTTTTCATTTCTGTGAAAATGTTTTAATGAAAATTAGGATTACTTATAACTTCTGAAGAAATATAAAAGTTTGAACAAAAAATTGCCTTTTGCCAATCACTCATTTTCAACAACAGCATACACTTTCCATACATATCCTCCATGAGTCAAAATTTAAAAAAATATAAATTTTTTAATCTTTAGTAGCCAGTGCTGAGGGCAGAAAGAATTGCGACCAGTTTCTAACAGAATAAATGATACGCTAACTTATTTTTTATGTCAATCCTGAAAAAGCCTTGCTATATATTCACTTGTAGGCACTGTACCCAATCCCATTCTGATCTGTGCTTATCAAAAGCACATTGCACAGGAGGACTGCTCATCACATGTGCCAGTTTTATATTCCTGCATACTCTCAGCCTGCATCAAAAAGCTGAAAAATCTCTGCCTCATATTTCAAATTGAGTAATAAGGTGCAGACACAGCGCATACTTACAACGTTGGTTAACCATTAACAGTTGCTACAGTGACTTCTATGTTAGCAGCATATGAGCTTAATCATTGAGGAAGATAACTGATAATTAAGGTATTACTGAAGAATGGATTAAGTGTTTTGTGGTATTGATCGGTACGTCTGAAAGTCCGGGCATTTTTCCTTCAGTCTCAAAGGAATGATGCTTCCCTAGGCATCAGATTGATGAAAGAATTACATAGGCATCAGCAGTGACTACTGTTTCAAATGGGTTCATCAATGCTTTTTGCTTTTAATTACATTATGGTGTTCATTACTTTCATGTTCTTTTTCTTGTTATAAAAATTGCCAAATTAACATTCAGAAGTAGTGTAATTATTGCATTACTCCAGAACACCCACATCTATGATGTTCTTTTCTTCCTACCAAATTCTAGTGATGTCAAGGAACCCAAATTCAAGCTTGCAGTAAGTAGCTTAATAAGAGACTGCATGACATGAAATAAACTTTGTCCAAGGTTCATAAAAGTAAAAGGAAAGTGCTGACTGCATGAATCCCACCCCTGACCTTGAGTTCACCAACTCTGAATGCAGCCTCCAGGCCGAGGGAGCTGATGCCTACAATGCTGAAGTATCCTTGAGATTGGACACAGAGTGCAGGAGTGAAAAAACAGAAAATCCATCCGAAAATGCAGCCGTGTACAAACACTCAGGTACCAGACTGACTAAACAGAACTGTTTTCCTGGACTAGCCGTGATAGAATTTTGCTCTTGCTCATAATTTTAAAGACCTCCACTGCTGATTTGAACATTAAAAATGTGGTGACTCGTCCCATCTGCCTTGCTTGGGATGCTTGAAGGGAAAGGAGTCTTATCTTTCCATTGTATGTAAGTACTTACTGGCAGGGCCCAATATGCCCCAAAGTATTTGTACGTCAGAGCTGTTACTTCACATGAAAACTTTCATTTTAAGCATGAGGCACTTTTAATGAGTCTATAAATAAACTGCAGTCAAACCAACAGCCACTGAGGCTGCACTGCATTTATAATCCCAGTGTACAGATTTTAGTCAGCTCACCAGTATTCTTGCAGAGTTCCTCCTGTAAGGTTCTGTCATGGCTACCTCCCTTCTCCTGATGTAATGAGAAATTGTGGAATTATATAAAAAAGCAGCAAGTTCAGGAGTGTCCTGTGGAATAGCAAACTACAAAGAGAAAAAGAAGTGAACATTAATGATATATCCATACAATGAATCTAACAGACTGGTTCCCTTCTCAGAGGTTTTTGATTTTGGATTAACATTGTTTTTGCATTTTAACAACACCAATGTGAAAATGTACTGTCTTCATTCAGAGCGCAGCAACATATTGCTTGGCTATAGGGATTGCAGTAGATGACATTTTTTTCACACCGTACTTATTTTTGTTAGACTCTTGGGGCCAGGTTCTGTTCTCTAAAAATGGGATAAATTCAAAGCCTTGTCATTAGCTCAAAGCAAAATCCGCCTATTGCAAGATAATGATTTTGCCAGCATTACCAGAAAGTAACAGGAAAGAAAGCAAATCCGAATTCTAGCAGCGCAGCTTTTCAGCATTGTTATTTTTTAATAACAACTTTGTATAATGCAACAGTTTGTTCATTTTTAATCTCATATTAAAATGCATCCTGCTGTGCTTTATCTTCATGGATTTTTGATCTCTGAATGAAAGCTGGTTTTACTGCTGCCAGTTTGCCTTTAATCTGTACACAGAGCATCTGAAGCTTCTTTCAAGAAGCTGGAAACTGAATGTCTGGAAATTCAATCTCTATGGAGGGAAAGGTAAATTCTAGCTTATGAGAATCTGATTGTGTCAAATCACAATAAAGTATAGGTGGAAGTTTGTAATAAGATCTTAAAGGAACTCACCTAAGCATAGCAACACAATTCAGTGGGCGCCCCAAATTAGAAACAGCTACATCAGCTCTGTCTTTAGAATCATAGAATGGTTTGGGTTGGAAGAGACCTTTAAAATCATACAATTCCAACCCCCTGCTATTGGCAGGGATACCTCCCACAAAACCAGGTTGCTCAAAGCTCCATTCAGCCTGGCCTTGAATGCTTCTGGGGAGGGCATCCACAACCTCACTGGGCAACCTGTTCCAGGGTCTCACCACCTTCACAGTAAAGAATTTCTTCCTAATAATTAATCTAAATCTACTTTCTTCCAGTTTGAAGCCATTTCAGCTCGTCCTGTCCCTACCTGCTCTTATAAAAAGTCCCTCCCCAGCTTTCCAGCAGGCCCCCTTCAGGTATGGGAAGGCAACTATACTCCAGGGAAGGCACTGTAGCCTCTTCTGCGGGGCTGAAGAATACCAAAACTCTGTCAGCTCTCTCAGCCTTTCTTCAAAGTTCCTTCAACTTTAACCTCTGAGCACAAAATATCTTAAATTCCTAAGGAACATGTTAGCCATGCTGTAGCACAGAAGCGAAGCTACAGCTAAAATCCCACAAAACCTTCCAGAGACTAACTCTGTGTTCAGAATATTTGATTAAAATTCTAAGGCAAAGAGGGAACAGTTTTGACATTGAGATCTTCTGTGAGAAGCATCCTTTGCAACAAGGGAACAGTTGAGTAGCTAGTAAATCTCTGCCTCTCTATGTGATAACGTAGGAATTCTCTTTCCAGGATTCTTTCACCAGGATATATAGACTCCTATAATGATGACAAAAAAACCCACAATATAATGACATGCCTTTGAAGAAGCCCTCAGTATACAAAGACAACTGATACATATGTAGATCCATTAAAATACTTGATCATTTTTACAATTACTTTTTTTTTTTTTTTTTTTTTTTTTCATAGATCATAGAGTGTGAGCATCTTTGCTAGTGAATTATTTACAGCTAAGGTTGAAAACAGCCCAGAGGGGCTATAAAAAACATGAATGTCTCCTGCAACAGTTCAAAAGCAGAATTCCTCTAGTAGCCTAAATATTCAGGTTAAAGATATCAGGTAAAAGATAGCAGGTTAAAGATATTATTTTAACTCTCTTGAGCCAATAGCACAGGACAACTCTGTCTCCACAGCCATTCTATATGGCACATATTTTGCACATGATGCCTTACTTGAAATGGATTCTCCTTCTCTGCAAGGCCTACTACAATGGCCTTTCTTGTTTTCCCCACTGGGAAAACTGTATTGTGAGCCTCATCATCTTGAGCAGATTTCAAGGTATCTCCAGTTCCTCAATTTCTCATTCAAAACCCAGTTTAGCCTTCCGCCTTTTCTAACCTCTGCTGCAATATGCAGCATTCTATCAGGAATGTTCAGGAAGAGGACTATCTCTGTCCCCAGATCAGAAGTGGCACACACACAGCTGAGAGCTCTGCAGCACAGAGGACACATAGCCTTGGGACTATGCCCGAGCCTGTCGGCAGGTGCACCTTACCCATGTGGTGGCTTTTACTCCATGTGTTCCGCACTTGAGCCAATACCAAAAGTCCACTGCAGTCAGAAACCACTGTCTGTCCCTCTGGTATTTACAGGCACAAAAATATCTCATAAATACTGGATCAGGCCAAAGGTCCAGCTTGCTGAGCCCTTTCTCAACAGACCTGCCTTCAAACAGATGTAGAAGGAAGAGCAGGAACAAGGCATGCATTTGCCTCTTTTAATAACTTTCAGCTTCCAGCTTAGGGACTTCCTGATGCAGATGAACTTTCTGTTCATTTAATAAACTTCACTGGCCTTCTCTTTTGCAAATGTGTCCAGTTCTCTCCTAAACTCATGTAAACTTTTAACCCCAGCTGCTTCCTCTAGCAACAAGTTCCAGACATCCAATGCCTGTTGCACGAACCACCACTTCCTTCTGCTTGCTTTGAATCTGACTGCAAGCTTCACTTGATGCTCCAGTTCCTGTGCTGTGAACACATGGCATTCCTGTGCAGGAGCAGGCTGAGGGCAGTCAGTCCCCCACCACGCTGTCCCTGCCACTTCCCATTTTGTAGATTATATCTGTGCACAGATTGAAGCATCCTAGACTACTGAGCTCCTTTGTGCAGTGAATTTGTTCCATATATTCAATCAGCCCTCTTCCTTCTCTTCACACCATTTGCAAGATTAACAATTTTACTATCACCACTATGAGAGAAAGGAAAGCTACAGAAAAGCCCCTAAACAGGACTCTTCCCATGGGTGTATAGGTTTACAATCAAAATTAATCTTTGGGAATGAAACAATGAAACTTGCTGGAAAGCTTTCTACGAGAAAGTAAATTCAACAATGGGAAGCAATATACCGCTTTAATTGAAAGTGAACAATCTAAGTCATTTTCAAGGGGAAACACCCAAGCACCCAAGAATGCAAGGTTCTGAAATCCAAGAGGAGCCAGGCATGTCATGTCCTTGGCCTTATTTGGAAATCAGAGCCAGACAGCCTGATGTTTATACTAAGCCCCCTATCCTCTTCCCATCTGAAGCAGTACATAAGCATGAAGTATTTGAAATCAATTGTATATTCATGATGTTCAGTGCTCTGGAAGCTAAAACAAGGAGAGGATGTTTAATTCTTGCAGTAATGACTGAAGTATCTTCTGCTATGACAAACGGACTGTGATTTCAACAAGAAATTTCATACAAGCCTCACAGTTCTTCTTTAGGTAACAGATGTAATCATTATCAAACAGGAGAGGAAAAGCAAACTCAAGAAGCATAAAAATAATCATCAAAAAATACACTGCCCTGAAAAAGTTATTCAGAACTTTGGCACTATTCCACCGACAGGCTCTGCCTTCCTGACAGAAATGTTCCCATCCTGGCTTCTAAAGTGAAACTCAAAGCAGCATCCAGTAGTCAGGGGAAGGATGCTGAGCTCCCTTACTCCTTATTTGCAACCTGATCTGAGCAGTGGCTTTGAGCTCCCAGGGTTGCAAATATAAATTGGGCAGCTTGGCTTCCTGTTCCTCACTGCTGCTAAAAAATAAGTGGAAATGAGGTGCAAAAGATCATAGAAAAAATATTATTTCCGAACTTCTTGTGTTTTGCATATAAAATGGGAACATCTTGAGTTTCCCCTCATTTTCATTTCCATCCTGTAGCAAAACTAAATGGAAAGGGAGAATCCTAACTCTTTACTGCCTTCCTTGAATGAAACAACAAAATTTAGTGATGTGTTTGTTATACACAATTTTTTTTCTATATTTTTGTGATTACATAGTGTATTTCTATCTCTGTAAGCAAAAGACTCGTCATGCAGCAAAATGAAGAGCAAGTGAAGAGCAGTCCTGTTGGCTAGAAAGCTCTCTTCACTTCTCTCCACTTCTCTCCACTGTACTCAGCTCAGCTCCTGGTAAGCAGAAGACGTAGAACAGTTCAAGCATTTGGAATGTAGCTCTTTCTACAAGATGTTTAACAGACTACTGGTTACACTTGAGAAGTGGTGCTTATTTCAGAAGTGTCTGGAATGAGTTATGCTTAATAAACTGGATACCTTGTTTTTGATGGGATAATAAGGAAAGCTGTGCTTTGCTAAATCTTCTGACTGAGCCAAACCCAGTTCTTTCTGCAGGACCTGCCATCACAAATACAGACCTTAAAACAGGCCTTGAGACCCATTGCCTATCAGCACCGTGCTGAGGAGGCTCTGACCAGGCTGTTCCTTGGTCCTGCTACCTCCAAATTCTGAGATCCGCAGCTCTGCTGCAAAACAAGAACCACATCCATGGAAGGAGAAACAATTTGGACAGCAGAAAATGTGTAGGAGTACCAAGAAAAAACAAGTGGGGGATTTTTTTCCCCCTTTGTTGGCACAATTAAAATAACTACAGAACCATTTCCAAGTAGGATAGAAAACAAAAAGCCTGCCATGTTGCCACAAGGTTGCAAATTTTATGAGTTAACATTGATTAAGGCATGAAAATAATCGCAGTCTGTAGGAATCCGTTCACTAGTTTGCTTTTTACCCGTGAAAATGATCTCAGGGCTACTGTGAAAAATTTCCGAAAAAACTCCATGCCATTGTGAAGTTGTAGGCAGAGAAAATGCAAGCAAATGTAGACAGGGATGGAAATAAAAATAACAGTGGGTGACTTACATTGATTTGCATTATATTAATAGGAGAGCTTGTTTGACAGTGCAGTGGTCCATGAGTCTGAATATGTAGAATGTAAAGAAGAAACTCCTCTTGACTGGACACAGGCCAACCAACATGGAGAACTGTATTGTTGATGGCACTTGGTCCTATATTGTGAAGCTGGGAAACAAACATTATCAGTGCTGTCAAAGGCAGAAAATAATAACAAAAAACGCATCAATCATCACTTTGATACTTCAAAATTCTTAACATCTATAATCCTAACGTACTTTTGGAAAGAGGTATAGATTATTATCATCATTTTATTGATGGAAAATCTGTGGCAGGCAGTGAAAAAGAACCATCTCATATTAGTTAGAAAGCAAATCTGGGAGAAGATCTTTTTTGCCATCACCTTTCCCTTTTTTTGTCCTGTGTATGAAAGACCTGAAATGACCTAAAAAAAACCACTCAAGATGTAAACCAAAACAGATTAGCACTGTAAAAATATATACAATCAGAACAAAAAATACCGAAAACAGGTGAAAAAAGAATCACATTTCAGGGTGAAGGATTAGAAGGTACAGGAGAGCCTACAGTAATTTTTGTGATTAAGAATTCTATTTTCAGTGTGTCTTAGTTCAAATTTCCCAAGTGAAAAAGAAAGTAGCTCTCCTGAAGTAACATTACAAAATAGCATCATTTTCTGAGGAAAAAAAACCCAAACAAACACAACCATAGGAATTAAAACATGGGATGTTAAAATTTTTCTTTTAATGGTATACAATTTGAAAATGTCTGATGACTGCATGAGGTTTGAGTATGTGCTAGCACTGGATTTGAGAGCTACAGAAGCAGGATATTATGAAGTTCTACTCAAAGTTTCTGGAGTCTTGAAATTGCCCCCCTCCCTCCTTTTATTTTTATTTTTTAATGTGCAGAATTTTGTTACTGCTGCGCTTTGTTTTTACCCAAACAAAACCCACGTTCATTCTTACACCTTCTTTAGTAAGGAGTTTTTGTGCTCGTGTTTGGTTTTCATTATGCCTTGCTGATATCAGTAAACCACGAAAGAGGCTTCCTGAATCACCATAAATATTGAATGACTGTTAAAATATGTTTGAAATCACATATTTTGCTCCACAAACAGGTGGGTGAGATAGGAAGATTTGTTAGACTTTTCAGTTTAGAGAAATATGTTAAGACGAGGATAAAACAAATAAGACTTTGTATTTTGTAGTCTGATCCACTACAGTTCATTGCATCATGCAAATTCTAATCTTACACTGCCAGTTAAGCTCTTGCACATTGATTTGTTAATTGAAACCACATGTGAGGCATTCTGCTTTACACCCTTGAATAAAGGTTATCCATCAGATTCCGAAGATGCTTTGTATTCCATACAGTTCATTCAGGATACTTGTTTCTAACCCGAACTCTTCTCCTCATAGCTTTTAATGAAAAAACAGCCAAGTCAGTGAAAATATTTGATGTTGGTTGTAATGAGCTTTTAAGCACTATTTTTAATTCTTGCCAAGCATCCTAAATATTTCTAGATCTCTTAAATGTCAAAGGCAGATTTCAAACATAAACTAGTGTCTCCCTTCGCTAATGTGAAAAGGGTTCTGAGTTCCCAGATTAAATATGGGTCATGTTCTGAAGTGGGAATATTTACATGTATGGCTTTAGATGCTGATAAAGACAATAATTCAAATTCATCAGTGGGAGCAGAGTAAAGTACTATGTAATCATATATCATCATTACCTCATAGATGTGTTCAACTAATGGACCAATTTCTTCTTCTTTTGTAGGTTCATCTTTGGGTTCCCAGTTGTGAAGAGGCAGAACAATCTGTGGTGGGTGAGAGACTCTGTAATACATAAAATGAGTGAGAACAGTGGTCAGCTGTATTACGTTAAAAAAAAAAAAAAAAAAAAACAAAAACCAAAAACTAAAACAACAACAAACCTAAGAGCACTATAGAAGGGCAAAGGGCACATTCATTGCCATTAGGAGAGGTTTGCCTATTGCTATGGAAGCAACATGATGCTTCATAAAGTACTGCCCCATCCTTACAGCTACTGAGGGTGACCATTTATGTAATACATATATTCACAATCAGATATTATATATATATAATATACATATACATACATATATATATATAATTTTTCTGATCATGAATTTGCCTTATATTATTCCTTTAAATAAACTGAAAGGTAGTAATATACCCCATTTTATAAGTTGAAAAAATGAAGTACAGGTAAGATTACTTCCATAAACTTGCAGTGGAAATTAGCTTATCAAGAAACTGAATTTAGGGTTACAGCATGGAACCATACTCCAGGCTTTCCTATTTGTTTTGCAAACAAAGTGACATATAGGGAATTGCCTGAAACATCATTAAAATATTCACAATGAAATTCAAACAAATGAAAAAAAAAAAAAAAAACAAACCAAAAAACTGCAGCTTAGAATTTGACATCTTTGTTTAGTACTCCTATTTTACTTTTCCCTTCTGTGCCTGATTTCAATAAAGGACTAAATAGTCTCCCGTTAACATTTCCATTTCAATCAGAAGCACCATTTCCCATAACAAATGGAAGCTCCCTAGAGGGGCTTCATTCAGATGCCAACTTTAACCTCACTAAGTTGTTGAGAGCTTGGGAAATCAGATCCCAGGAGTTTCTTTCAGCAAGGCACGTGAGTTCTGGCCCAGGCATCTGCCATCTGCCGGTAACAGAACCACCCTTGGTGCTAAAGCAGTAGGCTTTGCCCTTTTTAATTTTATTATTATTATTATTATTATTATTACAATAGTCAGCTCTCACTTTGCTTTGCTGGCTTTCAGATTCTTTAGCTTAGAGGAAAGGCTGGGAGTTTGCTGACAAAAAAAATTGTCAAAAAACTTTTTTTTTTTTTTTTTTTTTCCCCCCCCACAGTATAACATTTGAGTAAAATGATGGACTTCTGTTCACTGATATTAATTCCCTTTTGCTTGGGTCAGAACAGAAGAAGCATCGCTGCAGATGCAGTTTGTTCTTTAGGAACAGAGGAATGGATTCTTTTGTTACAAATACTGACATTTCTATAATAGTTTAGGAGGAAAAAGTGCTCCCACTTTCAGCTCTTATGTCATATACACTGAAATAAATGTCTGATAAAATTTTCCACAGAGTATAACTTCTCAAACCATGTGGAATCAGAGAGAAGGACACCTTAATACCACCCAGCCAAAGTAAAAAGCTACATGAAATGTTAGGTATTCTGGCATCTAAATACTTCCCCAGAATTCAAAATGCTAATTAGCTCCTACCAACAAAAATGTCAGAAGACAAATTTACAAGCAAAACCAAATAATAAAGAAAATAAAACACATAGCAGGGAAATATTGGTGGTAGGTGTACAGTTGGACTAGATGATCTTGGAGGTCTTTTCCAATCTTGGTGATTCCATGATTCCTGTATTCTCTATTCATAGTATGTCATTTCAGATGAGGTACTAAGTCCAACTTGTTCACAGATGAGGTACTTAGCCTAATCTTTTGCAAATGGCTTCGCTTCCAATAAGAACTGTAATTGCAGATTGTCTTTGGAGAGTGGGACCTTTCTTGTGTAGTTAGAAAAGCCACCTTTAGCTACCACAAAACTTTGCAAAACACTGTACACAGATAAAAAGAAGTAGGCATAAGGTTTTAAAAGTCAATGCTTTCTATAACGTTCCCAGCATGGTGTTTTTCTCACCTAAAGAATTACAAAGTGCAACTGTAGACATGCTACTAAAATAATCACAAAGAATATAAAAATGGGCACTTTTGTTTTAATAGATTTTACGACCATTGAAGTAGTAAAATAGGGTCAAATTAAACAGAAATCTAGATTTCTCCTAGACTTTTAGGTGTTAGTGATCAGCCAAATGTGACCACTGAAAAGTAAGATAAAAGAAATAAGTTCTACAAAAAAATGGTTATGTGCAATATGCAATAAAAACTCTGCCTGGTGCAAGTCCTTGCAGTCCAAATTCCTTCCTTTCTGCATCCCTCATTCCTCTACAACTCTTTCAGCAGTGGAACATCATGGTTACAGCTATAAAACACTTAAGATTTTTGTAGAAAAGAAGAAGTGAGCAGCATAACAAAATTTTAGTTATCTGAGCAACTACTCATTGAATGAACTAAAGAGTTATCTCAAATTGCCTTTAAGGAGAATACTGGAGATTGTTTTCTTTCTCATAGCGATAGCATTTCCATGCATTTACTGTGTAAATATATATGCATACACATTGATGCAGTTTGGTAACTGTAGTCTTCTTCAGTACAGTGTATAATGATTGTAGTCACACTTCATCCAACCCTGTGTAGAGCACTAGGTGAACCAGTGTAAGACATTTTCCAGACCAAATGTGGACTCAGACTTTCTTTTATTTTTATGTAGGAAATAATGAGCAAATAGTTCCCATGGAGCTGCATGCTTCAACATCTCTGAGTAATAAGCAAAATCTGTCAACAAAGCATTTGGGAGTTTTCCTTTGTACATGCCTATCACAGCTAAAATGAAAACCAAAAGACTTATGAGTAAAGAAACTGGAAGTCATTCAATTAAATAATTCCTCTGTATTTAACAACCTGTTCCTTAGCTGTGCAGGCAGCAACTCCAGCCTCTTTTTCCACTCAGAGGCATGCACCTTTTAACAGCAAAGGTTGTTTTTGCCATTTTTGGTGTCTACCTATCTATTTACTACAGAGCTTCTCATTACAAAGAACACACCATGGCACAAAAAGAATGAAATGGACAACAAGTCTGCAAAGAATACAAAATATTTTTTTTTAAGATATTTCTATGAACGTGATGAGAACTATCACTGAAAAAATCAGTCTGCAGTGCAGAAAGCAGCCCTTACAGAAAAGTCTCATAAGGTATCCATAACCTTTTCATTACAGCACTGTAACTCTGACCATTCCTTAATCTGATTGTCCACCCATGGCAGCACCCAGCATTTGCTCTCCCAACATTTTCTCTCACATCGGCAGCCCACCAACTAACCCCTTGTGGTTCTTGCTTCCTCAGCTTCTGGTTTTCTGGTACTCATTGCCACTCATTTTGTATTCATGACTTAATAATATGGCATTCATCTTCCCATCCAACTCATTTCTCTATCATCATTACTAACTCCACAGAAATCACTATCATTTCTACTGTAGACAAAAAATAGTTCTGTTTCTGAATTGAAATGGTGGAATACTTACCCTCTGACCTGCACCTGAGCCGCAGCAGTGATGTTGATATGAAGGTTAACTAAATTGCTGGTGGAATTAACCTTGTTAGAACTGGAAAAGATTTGCACAAAGGTTAAAAAATACATATTTTTTTTTAGCAGAACTCTAGACAGTTATAGATACAGAACTGAACACCCACAAGGCCCACAGTTAGGAAGTGATGCCACTGGACATTAAATAACATGAAGCTTGTTATTGCCATTCCTCAGGCTTTTTTTTTGGAGAATTGTATTTCAGTTTGATATCATTTCAGTTTATTGCACATTTCATAATATAATCAATTCAAACTACCTTTAAAGAATCACATGCAAGGATAAAATGATACAAATTTATTTGATTCAGAATATCATCTAAGTTTCCTTGTTCAACTTGGCTATCTGTATGAATAGGAATATTCTAACAGAACACAAGGCTGCTTCATGCATTGGAGGAGGCAATGTTAATGAACAAGATGGGCTTTGTTTTAATTAAATTTGCTTCTGTGACTCTCCAAACTTGTGACTTCTGCATAACAGAGTTTTTAAAGAAAGAAAAAACAACAGTAAAATAAATGGTTTCTTTCCTTTTCTTATTCTCTCCCCTCTCCAGTCCACATTGCTTACACTATAATTCCCACAGATCTCTACATTTAAAGCATTGTGCTGCCCCTCCTTTCATTGCCTTTTCTTACTACCAATCCTTATTACCAAAGGTAGTTTTTCACTTCACACAGCCATTTATGTGAGTATTGGCCATTCATGTAAAGAACAGTTTGCAGGGTCAAATTCATGAAGACAGAAAAAAAATGCTTAGAGAATTAGAGTATATTTAATTATAGGATCAAGGACACTAAGTTAGGAGGTTTTACTCAAGCAAGCATGGAAGCACTTCCTTGTTTCATGGAGACTAAGTGTCTATTGCTGTCACAGTTTACTGTTATCACATCTGGGTAGCATCAGTCAAATGGAAACACTCAGAAGAGGCCAGCATTCCCAGCAACTGACTCCTGAGAAGGAAAGGGCAACAGTGCTTTGATCCAGGCTTTCTGGTTACAGATTGCTAAAATTAGGAGCAGCTCTAATTTGTTTGTAAACCAATGCAGATTCTCCTGAAGCATCAGTTGAACTTTTGATGTAATCCTCTTACAGTCACTTTTTGAGCTACAATCAACATTTAAAATTTGCTTTTAAGTAAAAAAATGCCTCTACCATTAATTTGTTAGTATAATTTTTCTCCAGTTTCTATTACAATACTACTTTCTATAGTGTTAAAATACAGATTTTGATCACATATATTTGATATTCAAATTCTGTTTGTGCTTTACAGCATTTTGTAGAGAATAAAACAGTTTAAATAAAGGTGCCAGGACATCTCTCTTGCTACCAAAATCCACATCAGAAAGGGAATTCATTTTAGGTCATTTCATTTCCTTCTTTTGTGTTTTTTATGTTTGCTTTTTCTGTTCTCTGAGGAGAAAGAATGCATGAACAGCAGTGCTGCTTGGGAAGTAATGTACAAAGAAGTGTACTTTCACTGTAGGGAATATTCCCCATGCAAAATACTTATTTTTTTCTTAAGCAGCTGAGTGCTGCTTAGCATTTTGATATCAGTGTGTGGAAGCTGTCCTGCTTTCTTGGTAGTCCAAAAGGCTTCCTCCTCCTACATTTCAGTCAGTAAATATTATGGAGAATGTATGAGATGCTGCTGTCTCTTGAAGCTCAGACTTTTTGCTCATCTATCAAAGGTGAATCAAAGTGACCTGCCCTCAGCTTTCACTAGCTGGAAAGATCTCGTTTTCCCAAAGCTCCAAGCCTATTGGGTTCCATTAAAAGGGGAGCGATGATACAGCTTTCACATCTGTAACTGCCTTACTTGCATTAATGACCAGATGATGAACGGTGCTACTGAGCGGGGACCCACAATATAGACATTATATATATTTTCTCTCTCTCTCTGGAGGTGACCATGCCTGGGTTAGCATGGCTTGAACTCAGCAGCCATGCTTCCCACAGAGCACTGAGTCCTGCCCAGGGACCTCTTTGTCTGCTGTGGCATTGCTGTGCACTTCCCAAGTTTCTGCACATCCTTTCCCTCAAGGGTTACATTCTGAAAACATGACTCCAATGTTTTAAATGTCTCAGTTATTTAACACACAGAGCATGATCAAGGCCCTCATTAAAGTCCAGACATTAGTAATTAAGTCTCTGAGTGTGGGGCAGCAAGAGCCCCACCAGGGACTCCAGACCATATTTGATGACGACAAGGGTAGCAGAAGCACTGTGCCCTACTGAAATACTGAAAAACTCCCAGGTTTTGTGTTTGCTGTGATCCTAACCAGCCTGACCTGTGCTTTTTGGCCTGTAACAGAAAACAATTGCTCAGCAAAAACCAGAAAGTTTTCCAGCAGTAATATTTTGTTCTCGAAAATAGGGAGGAAACTAATAGAAAATGACAGATTCACATGAACTGAAATAAAATAATTTTTTCTCTTAAGGACATTAACTTCAACTAGATAGTCTATACAATATGAAGCATTTGACTATAAAGAGACGTTTTCACATTTGCTGAGGCAGCAAAAATTGGGAAATTTAATTTTAAAAAGATGAAGAGTAAATCTAAAAATATAGATATAAAAAAACTGAACACATTTTTAAGAACCAGAAATACTTTAAAATTCCCGTTTAAAGAAAAAAAGTGCTTGTTGTTGTGAAGTAGTGGCTTTTTTTTTTCCTCCACAGGATGATGTGTTTTTAAATATAGAACTTTGTTAAAAAATGATCGTTATTCATTAATCGCCAAGTGGAAAACCAAGTGCAAATTTTGTGAATCTGCTAAAGACCCTTCGACTGCTGACCAAAATCAGTAAATCTAAAATTTAACAACATAAAATCAGACAGAATCATAGAATGGCCAGGGTTGGAAGGGACCTCAAAGATCATGAATCTCCAACCCCCCTGCCACATGCAGGGCCACCAACCTCCACATTCAATACTACCAGACCAGGCTGCCCAGGGCCCCATCCAATCTGGTCCTGAACACCTCCAGGGATGGGGCATCCACAACCTCTCTGGGCAGCCTGTTCCAGCACCTCACCACTCTCATAGTAAAGAACTTTCCCTGACATCCAAATCCTCAGAACAGCTCTAAGACTACTGTAATTAATAAATTAAAAGCCCACAACAATCCAGCCCTACTAATCCTCCTGAAGAAAGCTACCAAAGGGAGGCCCATGAAATACCTACTGATGCTGAAGAGTTAAATTTCTTATAAGCTGAACTTCAGATATCAACAGAATTTAAATAATACTCTTGATAAAACTTCTAACCTTTTTATTTGCAGCTCAAAATTGATGCTGAAATCTGAATTCTCAAAATGCTGAACAGAAAACCGGATACCTGTAGAGAACTGGGAAAGAAACAAAATTGTTAATTGATCTTTTCACTTTGAGAAAACATTATTGTTTATTGTTGAGTTTCACACACTTATGTAGGGTACTGTTATTTTTTTCAATTGCTATGAAAGAATGTAATTTTGTTATTTTCAGGAAAAAAAAATACCATCCTGCCTGCGTACATTGCCAGATGGAAAACTTGGACAGAGGAAAGATCAAGTGGAAGACAGCAGCAGGCTCCTGAGAGCACAGCAGTGGGCCCTTCTCCACAGTCCTTGCTGTACATTGCCAAGACAGAAGAATAACAGCTGTCTGGCACCTCTACTCTGCTTCCATCCATGCATTTCTTCATCCTGGTCTCCGGGTCTTCCCTCTGTTGTCTCGGTACTGTGGCAGGAGCCACATGCTTTAGGCGCTGCAGGACTGATGGATCACTTTTTTTCTTTTAGAGGCTGAAGTAGCAGAATCACAATGTTTTGATTTGGTTTGGTTTTTTACACTGCAGCTTCTAGCAGCCATAGTTCTGTTAAGATGAATAACACTTCAAAGTTATTCTTGCAGTAGAGCTTACCACAAATTGCAGCTTGTGGCCACAGAAGGCAGAGTGTAAAACACACAGCTCCCCAAACTGAAGGGTGTAAGGGCTTCCATCCGTGCTCCCCTGTGTTTACATAAACCTCAAGTCTACAGATCTACTTCCTCCTCTTGCTGATAATTTCCATTTGCTTTGCAAAACAGTCATGGAGTAACAAACTAATTCAAAGGCAAATGGAATTACAGGGCTAGACATAGAAGTTTTATATATATATATATATATATATATATATATATATATATATATATATATATATATATATATATATATCAGCATATGGTGGGGTCTCTGCAGCCTTCTTGTCAGACACGGTTACAGCACTGATATGCGAGTGGCAGAGGAGGAGGGGGAGATGCCATCTGTCCTCCACATTAAATTAATAAAATTGTACTGCAATGTTTAAATTAATCTTTTTAATTGCTTCATTTCAACTGCATATGTTTTGAATCTGTTCATTTTTGAAATGCGAATTTTGCATTGAGGCTGACAGCAAAGTACACAGTCTGTAATCTTGTACAACTTCCCCTCCCTCTTGCCTCCCGTACTGCCTGACGGTGAAATTTCCTGCCAGATAACTTGCAGACATGCTTTCCTTTTAAAAAAGATGGTTATATATAATCCTGCTCTCCATGGGGAGAAATAGCCTTTCTGAGAAAGTCATAAAAAGGTACCAGAAGTGAGGACATCAGTTCTTCATCTCTGCCAATATCTGACTAGATTTCAGAGGAAAAAAAGAACTGTCTTCAAGATATGCTTCCTTGGCATATGTGGGGCAGCACTGTAAGCAACAGGACACAGTACAAGGTACAGACTTCTGTTTTTGGACCAACACTCAACATCGCTGAAGAAGAGGAGAGTTTTTTCTCTGTTGGTGTTATTTCAAATTTTTAAGGAATTTCTTTTCTTATTTAGCATTATTTTGTGTTAAATCTTCCATCATTTTCCCTTTTTTCTCTTTTGCAGCAGTGGATCACTGAATATGAATCCATTTACTAAATGAGACTTAATTTCTTAAATTCCCCTATGCTAGAAGCAATTTGTTATCACTGAAAAAATGGAAAATCCAAATCTTTGAATTCTTATAATTTTAATATCATGGTAAGAGCTAATCTCTCTTTTGGGAAGCAAAATCTTTAAGATGAAAATAGATTGCTCATTAAATTTAGTGGGAGATGAATAGTTGACATGGAATACAGAGGTAAGATATTTTTTATGACAAGTTTTTTTAGATTATTTCAACAGCCATTTAATGTTCCATTCAACTTTGAGAATACACTGTAATCATTTTAATCCCTGAGATAAAAAATGTCAAATATTGACTTCAGCTTTTGTCTTACCATTTTTACTGATCAGTCTGCATAAATTTGGTTCTATTTTTGGCAGAAAAAATATTTGATGAACCAAATATTCAATCTTCCTGACTGAGGATAGCAGGCATGAACTGCTGTTTTGATGATCTATTATACCTCTAACATACAGGTTTAATCCCTTATTTAATACTGAAACACAGTCCTGCTGTATGAGTCTAATGAACTACAGATGTTGCCTTTGGTAGTATGACTTTGTCCGTGTCAAGTAGTCCTTGACACTGCAATGAATAAGATGCTCACATGCCCTGACTCAAACCTCACTGAGGCCAAAGGAACTGAATTTGCTTGAGCATGTATCCCAGCGGCCACAGCAGCTCCTTATTTTAGAAGGACGTTAGTTTTATTGGAATAGTTTAAACTTATTTACATTTTTCATCTGAAATTGGTTTCATTAAAATCATAAAACCAATTTGCCATGTTAAAACCATTATGAAATACATGACAATTCTGCTACTACTGATAATCTTCAGCTTGTCACACTTAGCAGCACCCACGAGCATGCTGAGAGACAGATAGCTGGCTTTTCTTCAGGTATCTTACAGTGCACATTAAAGATAAAACCTCTGCGCTCTTGAAGAATCAGGTTGGTACACACCAAGAAATAAGCAAGATTTTCCAAGCATTCCAGTCTTCTAACCTAACTTTCATTCATTTCTACTCCATTCCAAATTCTTCTACCAAAATTTTTAATAAAGCCTAGAATTCACCTGCTAAGGTCATCCAAGAGATATTAGTAAGCTTGTCAGTCTGATTAACTTCATTGACATAAATCAAATGTTTTGAGCATCTTTTCTCTCTGCCTGTGAGATGGTATCTCAGACATTTTGTTTGCAGCTGGGTCACATGATGGTGTGATTTTCTTTCTTGTTTCTTTTTATCATCTTTCTTTGCCATGCAGATAATACTGAAAGGATACTTTTTGTGGGCAGTAAACGATCTTAATGTCATGGAATATCAAATAGTCAGAGATACAGCAAATCTGATGACAATGTTGAAGAGGTGTTCTATAGCCTGCCACAGTAATATCCTATGGGGTTCATCACAAAATTCTGACATAATACCCATAATAAGAAATTGATCTTAAAGTGTTGAAGAATTCCAGGGTTCCAGGGTGCTGAAAAGTCATTACAGTGAGTCAATAGTTAAGAGTTCTAGGAATGTTTTATGTTGACCTAATCCTCCCTTCCCGCTCCCTCACAACTTTCAGAGTCCCCTTTTGACTGAGAATTTTCAGAAAAACTGATCTACTGCCAAAGTAGAATTGCTTTGCGAAATTGGAAGTGGATCAGAGCAGCCTTTCATGATTTACGCAATTTGTATGAAGGGTTAGTATTTTGCTGTTGGAAGTACGTTTGCCATCATAAATATGTTTGGCTGAAAAAGCTCAAGTCCTTTCACCTTTATTAAGCTTCCAGGAGAGCTGGTTTCAAAGGCAAAGTCAGCCTTTAAGCTTTCACGAACTATAGCCAAACACTTTTGCCACCTGGCTTTGTGGTGCTCTATCTTCATATGCCTAATACTTTTTCCTCAATTTGGTGAAAGCCTTTTTTTATAAAACAGAATATTCTTAAAAATTTGAAAAAAAAATAAATGATATGAACCCTGCTGTTTTATTCTGCTACTTTTAAGTCTCTTTTTATGATGCATTTTGTTTAGGAATAGTAATAGTGCATTTATGGCCTTCCTAGTACTGAATCTGATGTAAAACAGAATTAGTTACACCATAAGAATTGATAAGGAGACAGGTGAGAGTAGAACTGCTTCAGTGGCCACCAAACAATATTCCTGAAGTCTTTATACTGCCAGCAGTTTGGGTCCAGCATGATGTAGTAACAAGGCTTTGGACTCACAGGGAGGAGCAGAGAAGCTGTAGTTTAACATCTCCCCACTCAGACCATTGCTTGTGTCTACAACAAAATACAAATCAAAAAAGATTTGCTCCTACACTGATAAACAATGGGGGTACCTCCTTGACTCCCGTTCATCTTTAAAACCCATGGGTTTTTAATTACTTTCTCAACAATCATCCACAAGATTCTTGACCACTCTGTCTGTATCCTGCTTTGAACTGTTTGTCACGAAGCAGGAAGAAGCGATGACAATCGTGGAAGAGACAGTACTTTTTTATGTCAAAATATACCTCTAATCCTATTCTGCTCTCCATCTTTACTCATATAATTCTGATTTTGTCTAGAAACAATGCTACCAAGGTATCATCTAAAAATGCGCAGTACGGTTTATGAGTAGATGTCTTAGGAAAATGTTTGGAATGACATTTTTAACTTGAAGGGAAACTTACTCCAACCTCCTCTTCACGGATGTGGAACATGATATGAACTGATAAGAGAATGCTCATACACTCAAGATTAGAATCAGCCTAAAGAAGCTGCCACTTACTATACATGTCTTCTACAGAAAGAATACCAAAAGGCAGAAATAAACATTACATACATTACAGAGTACGATTCCCTTCACTTCACAATGGTGTAATTTACGTGACTTAAATCAGTGACACTGATTTTCTTCGGAGTAAGTAAAATGGTAACATAAGGCAATATTAAAACATTGAGCTCTAACATCAATAATCTTTTAGAATAGCATAATTTTTCAGAAGCACAGTGCTGCTTCTTTCTGCACCAACAATTTCCTGTCCAAGTAAATAATTTGGTTTGGCATTGCTTATTTGGACACACACTGCTAATTGAATAGGTTTCCATTTGCTATTCTTTAAAATTCAATTAGCTAAAAATCAGGACATGAATCTGGTTTTTCCTTACATTTGCGCCAGCCACCATGGGGTTCCCAAGATCACAAACCACCATTCTAGTTTCATTTTCCATCTTGTAATCACAGCTCAACACACGCAGTGCCTGTAACAAAAGGACACCAATAAGGAGGTCAGAGATCACAGTGAAATGCATCCAGTTGGGAAAATGATGCCTTTCTGACTGTGACATTTCTTTTGATTTCAGATCCCTGCTCAGTGCGCTATGAAAACATTTAATTGGTTATTGTCAGACAATGGTGAAAATTGATGCCAGGGAAAAACAAACAGGAAAGTTTCCCAGTACCTTTAAGGCCACGATGCGACCACTGTATTTCTAGATCTAACACGCCACTTTGTTGCTATGAATCACTCTTAAAGCCACATTGACTCAACAGAGAAAACAAGAGAACTTTGTTAGCCACTGAGTCTAGAATTTTATTTGGTAAAGTATTTTACTATGGTATACTGTAGATTAAATACTTCTCTAACAACACAAACCGTCACTTGTGATTATAATTTAGCAACAGAGGAGATGGATTTCTACTCAAGTAATTTTCCACTAAAGCTCTTAATGCAAAATGTACCCTGTGGGTTTGCTTTTGTCTTTCAACCCTTGATAGTCTTTATTGCTGCTTGTTCCATCTTTATAGAAAACTGCACAGAAGGAGGAATAGAATAGTGAAAGGAGATACAGAATAAGACAAGAGAAAATACTTACATTCATGGACATAATAAACTAGCTTTCTAAAAGCAGAATGCAGCTAGAGTTACTGCTATAATACTTTCTCCTTCCTTTCATTTGTGATTCTTGCAGATTAAGCAATACATGCAGGGTCATGCTCTATATACAAAGACCTGGGAAATCTCTAGACACTGACTACTAATTCATTCCTAATCTGTAAAAGCCAGTGTGGGCATGCTGATGTTATCACTTCCTGAGGCTGAAAGAAAAGATAGGGCATGTCCTAAAAGGAACCTATGTGAATCACAGCTTCAGTTCATACCTTATTTATATCAACACTTTTTCTATTTGTTAGGAGGAAACAAAGTTTTTTACACAGCTCATTCAGTGAACTGCTAGCCATTCCAAGCCTCTCTACAGGAGGGAGGTACTCTTTCCAGCTAATTAGACATCAGTAATTAGAGATGGTTGGAAAAATCATTTTAAATTGATGTGTGGGTTTATAATTTTATTTTTGACCTTTTAATTTTTTTTTTTTCATTAAGGTTTAAATGTTTAACATAAATATTCATTTACATTTTATACTTTGCAGTTTTTTCATTAATACCGTATCATACACAAGTACAGAGTACATCAGCCCTTATCACACATTTATTGTCTCTTTAAAGCTAACCAATTAGAGGAGTTTTGCAAGTAGGCTTTCTGCAATTTAGAGGCTATGCTATGATGAACAGCACTACAAAAACTAATTTGTGCAGCATAAAGATGTGACAGAGTGAGAATTTCTTCAAGACAGACATTAATTGCCCTTGGTTTTCCACTGATTACCTTTTTGAGATGGTTAAATAAACAACAGGAAAAGGAAACAGGCAGGAAGTAAGCAAGTAACCCAGTACTGTTAATATCAGTGATCTCATAAGAAATTCAGCCAGATGGAAGGTTTTGCCACAAAGCCCTTCTACCTGTCACTAGTAGCAATTTATAACTTTATAGCTACACATGGTCTTTTTGGCAGTCTTGAGCAGAAGCAAAATCCCAGCAATTAACACGTGTGCTCCCAGGGAGCATGTTAACTAAAAAAATGATTGGCTGCCCTAAGTCATCCGGGCAGCCTACAAACTTGAAACTCTTCCTGGTGGTCTTAGTGATGAATTACTAATTGATGCCAGAGTAGTTAAGCACAACAGGCTGTGGAGTAAAACACCTCCTCTCCTTTCTGGATCAACACTTTCCAATCTCATCTGAGCAGAAGTGAATGGATTAGGTATCAGATGCCGGAGTTTAGCTTCTCTTCTAACTGTTGCAGGAGAACTAGTGTTTGTTCTCAAAAAGCTCAAATTATGTCTTACCTAGCCAGTCACCTTCTACTAATTCTTACAGTAAGATTTTTCAGGAAATATAAGAAAGTTGCACACATTTTTCCTATTTTAAAAGAGCATGATACTATAATATAGAAATACATAGGGCTTTAGCTCAGAGCTTATTCAATGCAAATTTAATCTGGCTGTGATCTGAAACACTCCTGCAGTTCCCAGCCTGAACAGAGACAGTCATGCCAAAAGATATAGTGTTTTTGGTGTGGAGCAAATACCTAACAGGGCTTTGTATTTGCCTGATCTACTAATTATTTCATGAGGGTTTGGGCTCCTGTTGTTGCTACTAAGGGAGGTCTCAGTTGTTCAACATGGGAAACTTTTGCTGGGCAAAGAATTAGTGTACAGTATGCAGACAATGGCTTCAGGTTCAAGAACACAATTATGCTATTGTAGTGTAAAAACTTACCATACGGCAAGCATATGCTGTCTCTAGCCCACTGATGGTCATGGAAATGTCAGGTAATATAATGTGGTTATATATTTTTCATTGCTGTTAATTCCAGTAATTCTACACCTCCAGCACATGGCCAGTTATTGCAAGCCAACAGGTTTCCAGTAACTTGTAAAGCTGTGGTAATTTTCTCATTTACCTGGTATCTGGAGCTTCTAAGCATTTCCACAATACAACTAATGAATAACATATTTGATTTCATTGTAAGTCATCATATTTCATTTACCAGTTTTTGACTGAAAGAAGTATCAGTATGTGCAAAACTAACAGGAATTCAAAATCATATTATTGACCTCAAACTTTAAGATCACACTCACTCAGCTCTTCATGTGCAAGTGCATTGCTAATGTACATCTCTGCCAAATGCTACTCTTCCAACGCAGCTGCCCTTTTTAGGTATAATAAGTTACAGAATCAGGCCAAAGACAACAAGATAATAACAACTGAGGAACATCAAACATTGCTTTTCATAAAGCCAAGAGAATATCAGTTATGTTATTACCTTTAACATGTAATTCAGGTGATATAGAAAAACCCAAGAAATAGTTTCAAAAAAATCAGGCTCAGTGAGAAAAATTTAAGGAGATAAATTTGTCTCTCAATTAGCTAGGTAAATCCAGAGATCTGTATTAGTGATAAAACCCTATATGAGTGCATCTGCTTTGAAATGAAAGCAGTATAAGAGAATAATTTAATTATAAAGATCCATTAGAAATGTACCAAGTGACTTGTTTGGTTCATTAGATTTCAGTTGTTCAGTCCTCAGCCTACCTGTTTTGCTGATTATCATCTCTGCCTTAATGCAACAAAGTCTTCAGCATGGAGAAAAACAACTACAGAGAAGACTGTAAACATTGATACAGTGAGTAGTCAATGAAGTTCTTAGATGCAGGGCTTCAGGAGCATTATTGTAACTGAAGGACTGATTATATATGAAGATTATATACTCTTCTGTTGTGTTCACAGAAGTTTTAAAGTGTCATGGCAGTACAATAAATTGAATACATACAAGAGCCAGCGCCCCCCAGCAAAATGCCAATACATTTTAGCTGAGTTTTTAAGAAAACTGCAATAGCAATTTTTCTCCCAAACGAGCTTTTAAAAGTGATGTTTTGAGTTGATTGAACCATAACCATACAAAGACTATGCTTTTTTAAAATGTACTATTATAGTTCAAACTCAGTCGAACAAATCTGATTTCAGTACTTTGTGTAAGCTGAAGTGTAGAAGACAAGATCACAGAATCACAGAATTATAGGGACTGGAAGGCATCTCTACAGATCATTATGTCCAACCCACATGGTGATAAGAATGATATAGATAGTAGGATTAATTTCTGAAACATCTCAGAAAAAACATAATGCAACTCTCCGGATGGAATAAGTATGCATTTTAAGAGATTATGAAATAAATTCTATGCTGTAGTGAACTAATTAAATATGGAGAAATCCAAGGCAATTCTCCCTTGAGTGCAGAAGGATTCAGAATTGGATTTGTCAAAGGTGTATTTTACTTTCAATAGAAATTGAAGAAAATGGAAAAGTTTGATCATGTTTCCTGGGCTTTTAAAAATTTATTTTTAAAAGAAGAACAGTTACATCTTTTGCCAACCCATTTCTAGCTTGTCCTCATTCTTCCAAAACACCAGACTCTCTCAACCTTTTTTTCCTTCATTTCCCTCTAACAACCCCCAAGTCTACCTTTCTGGCACTTTAGAATTCAATTTTTCCTAAAATAATAAGAAGTCCTGAGTGACTTCTGTCCAGTCAAAATGATAGACAGATGCTAATATGTGTGGGCTTTGGAGTAATTGCCTTCTCTGACATCCTTGGTAATGGCCAAAAGAACAGCCAAAGATTCCCAAAGTTAACAAAAGAAAAATACAACCAGGTGTATTATGTCAAAGAGAATCTTCGTTTTCTTTATGCCTTGTAGATCACAGTATGAAAAAAGAGAGGGTTCTAAGAGAGGGTTCTATTGTAAAGGCAATACAGCAAGAGGCCGGTATCTTTGCTTATTTGTGCTCAAAAATATGCTATTCAAAAATGAAGTTTCAGAGAATTTCTGTATTATTGTTTTGTATCACCATCTTCAGTGACATCATTAGATCTTATTTTCATCTAACTGGCTTCAAAGTCCAATAACAGAGACTCTGACAAAAGGAGAGTAAGGAAACACCTTGTAAGCTACTGTCAACTTCCTTAAAAACATTTGCCTTCAGAGAGGAAATTAACTCACTTTCTCTCACTCTCACCTTTGAAGCCCTGCTGTGCATTCCAGGCACTGACAGAAAAAAGAAAGTTCATGTTGCAACAGTTTGAGAGATTTATGTGCAGATGAGGTGATGCCGACTTGCTGTCCAACAGAGAATACATGGACACGCTGCTTGTTTGCAGGATGGTGTTTCATCTTTGCTTTTAAAAACAAACCGATCTCATAAGGAAACACAGTGTGTTTAGCACAGCTCAGCGGGACATGATTCTACATCAGACCTACTGTGAACACTGCCACATTTAACACTATAACTGCTTTTTTTTTTTAGCATATACATAAGATAAAATAATTGATTTTCATTTACCTTGCTGTTGCGTTCAACCCCAGTGTAATCTGCTTCAGGTGGAATCTTTATATGCAGCTCAGCTTCATAGGCTCCTTCCCCATCATTCCTTGGATTTATTATGAGCATGACACAGTTTTCTTCTCCAATTATTAGCTGATCTTTATCTCTGCGCAGAAAATATGACTTGTCAGAAGTTAAAACACACACAGTTATGATTTACAGCAGAAAGCCAATTTGCTCTCAGAGCATCTCTTCTGGAAAACATTCTGTGAGTACAGAGCAAAACTTTTTCATAACAAGTGACCCCTTTGAAAAGTATGCAAGCACCTGGGAATGAAAGAGTTCAAAGGAAAACACACATGAACAAACACTAAACTACAGAAGAACTTGGAAGTTAGTCATACACAGTTTCAGAGCCTGACTACTTTCTAACTAGAGACAAGTATCAAGTGGAAGCAACCACTTGCTACTAGGGTCCATCAGCATTTCTTTGTGGAGGGCAAAAAGCGATGTTAATTTCCATTTTCCCCTCATGCTTGTTGTACAATAAGCAAACAGAAGATCTCAAGACCTGTAATGGCACTATGACCTTTCCTTTCACAGCTGCCCACTGATTTTCATGGCACAGACAGATAACTGCCAGAGGTCTCCCACTTCTCCCGCTTGGCTTATTTCTCTCTCTGTAAGAGGAACTCTTGCCATGTTTTTATTTTTATTCTGAGATTCATTTATGTCATTTACTATACAGAGAGTTCAAGAGAATTGTGTCCCTATTTCAAACTCACTAACATATTGAAATCCACGTCTAACACTTGCAAGCTGCATTTTCTATGGTGGCCTTTAAATATTATGAACATGACCAACAAAGACATACTCTATAACTATGCATTTCCCCACTGTTGGTTTTCTAAGTGAATTAGATGTCCAAATTAAAATTTGGAAATTAGATAATGATAAGCAGGTACAGATACAACAAAACTGTGTTTCATTCTGCTGAAGCAGTTAGAAGATTCTGGATTTTTATATGTAGCTTTGCTTATTTTGCTTAACTTACGGCACAGCGGAAAGGTGCAAGTCAGGAATGCACAAGTTGTCCTCCCCACAGTCCACCAGAATATAAGCCTGTATGTCATTTAATAAAAAACAAACAAAAAGATATAATACAGTTAGTACAAGTTTCAAAGTCCAAATAACTTCATTAAATATCCCTAATTTATGTCTTAAATATTACTACCATTTTCCTCATGATTTAAACTTGTTCGCCCTTCTAAAAGTTCCTTTCAACATGAGTACTGCTCAAGACTGTCTAGACTGCAAACTGCATCTTTAGCAAAATAATATCTTTCAGGTCCTTTCCCACAGTAACTCAGCTCACATATTGTAAAATGCAATCAAAACTATGAACACACCAAAATTTTGGAAATGCTTTAAAGCTTTGCCTGGTTCTATATTTATCTTCAATTTACATTTTAAATTAATTAAATCCTTGTTGTGCAATCTCAGGGCCTGATACTTTTTAAAGGAAGATGACACACATAATATTCCTAAATATTTTCATGTTTATATACAGAATATGCTGCATGAAAAAATCATACCTGTTCTGTTACTGAGCTTCTCTGGTAGTAATTCAGTATTGGCTTCACCATCACGCTATCTTTGAAATGGGATTCATCCAAGCTATAATTCAAGTTTATATTGATGGGAGATAATTTATCTCTAAATTCTGTTTCATCCTGTGAGTGACAATCACATAATAAAAGAATAATTATTTCAGATGGGTATGATTTAATTTTGAAGATTATGGTCTTGTTTATTGAAGGTAAAAATACTCTTCTTTAAGAGGTGCTGGCCAAAATGTAGCTATTTATAATTTCATCATGAAAGCGTAATGACCTACCAGTGACTGGAATGCCCAGAACACATTGTCTCCATAGCTCCACATCTGGAAGAAGCTGGCTGAGCCGAGCAGACTCAATATATTTTTTCTTAACATTTGCCTAACATGAAGCTATTTGAAAGAGGCACACGGAACAAATTCCTGTCAGCTACCGCCCTCCTTTCATTCAGAATGGAGGGAAGGTATGTGGATTTGTGGAGGTAATATTGTTGGTTTATTCCACAACCAATGAATTAGTGACGATAAAACTCCCCACCTCTTTTGTCTAGATTCTGCCTTACACATGGCTGAGTCTTCTCCATTCCACCTCCCGCTACATTTCTAGATCCAGCCTTGGAATGTGCATGAGGTAATTCCAGCTGCAAGTGAGTAACCAATGACCCTTTCTTCTTCATTACTCAAGTGCCACAGTTTTAAGGGTTTTTTTTTTCATAAATATTTTAAAATATTCAAAATACACGAATTTTGGGCCAATACATTCCTTTAACATATCTGTTGGAACAGAACTGTCAAGGCATTTAATGAGTTTAGTTGGTTATTCCACTGTGAATACCATAAGAGAGAATAACCTTGTATTTTTGTATCAGGAGATGCATATATAATCAAAATTGCTGGAAGAGCATGAAATTAATATACGCAGAAAAACTGCACAATTCATCAAAGGAAGCCTTTCTTTTTTACTTTCAGTGACTGAAGGTGTATCAAATATTTTCATGGGAACTCTTGTTGAGGTAGAAGGATGGTCTGGACATTTAGGCCAATCCTTTCTTACCTCTCATTTGTGTAAATTTGGGATCTAGTACCAGTGTAAAATGTTCTTGCTATTCAAATGGCTCCCCTTCTTATTAGTCCCTGATGCTACTCAAACTATGATGACAGTCCAAAATATTTTAAACTTACTCTGAGATAAACAAGAAAGTCCTGGCAATAGAGCTTCTTCTGTTTTTCCATCACAATGGAGAAATAATGATGTGACTGATGGTAATCAAAGAAGAGAGTCCTTTTAACAGCTCCTTTCTGTTTCAATGAATCTAATTGCAATTCACCCTTCAGTGCTACAGGATACAAGCCAATTGAATGTTTATTTATCACGGAAAGAAAAAAAGCAAACAATTCATTATATATATTGTTAATAATCAACATTAATATTACAAATGACAAACAAAAGCTTCCAAGCAAAACTAGCACACGCCCAAGGTATCTGTCTGTTTAGGAGCACACTAGTTTTTGATTCAAAGTATAGAACAGGTATAGCTTCAATAAAACTGTACTTTATTTACATGCCATATATGCACTGTACAGGAATTCTGGTTCTTCGCTTTTTTGTTTTCTTTCCCTTTTTCTGCCTTTTTTTTTTTTTTTTCTCCGCCAAAATAGAGTATTCTCCAACTGGGTATGATCTTAGTTTTATCTGTAAAATGGCTTAAATGGAATAGAAATACTTCAAATGAACTGTAAAAGCTTTGTGCTTATGTGTGTGTGTGTGTGTGTGTGTATATATACGTGTGTGTGTGTGTGTGTGTGTGTGTGTGTTTTTAATTGTTATTTTCTTACCTCAGGAGGATTGCACTCCTATCACCTTTCAAGGCATAAGAGAAAAGTTCTGAAATTAAGTGGTCCAGAGAAAATCATAGGAATATATAAAAAAATTCTTACCTATCTCATCTGAAATACTTTGGCCTTCAAATGCCGCACAAACTCTTATGGTAAAACTAGGTATAAAAAGGAGGAATTGTTAGTAGAAAGGGAGCAACGTGGGAACCAACAATTCCAAAAACATACCTCCAAGTTCTCCTTTCCTTTTCTTAAAATCATGTTCACTATGATCTGTGCTAAGGCACCTAACCTATACTCTAAAACAGAATGTCTCCCTGGTTCCTCTAATACTCTGAATAACTTCACAGGAAAGATATGAAAAATTTGCTCTTTGTTACATTTGGTAACTCAGAAATAGCTATGTTTAAAACTCAGTAGAGAAAGAGTTATATCTGTTTCCAGAAGTTTGGGACAATTCCCTTATGACTGTGCATAAAAATGACTTCTTGTATATGCTTCCTCCATACTTCAGTTTTCCAAATTATATAACAGCAAAAATAATATTTTCCTAATACTAGAAAAGGTACAATAATCCACGTTCTTCATATTTTACACTTCCTGAAACTGATCTGGTGGGAGGTTCCCTTTCATTCTAATTCTGCAATATCAGTCAGTAGACACTTAAAACAAGTTGCACGGCTGGCTAAGAGATACAGAAATCTATCCCATGGGACTGAGGAATTCTTTGCCTATTGGAGTTTCCCTATTAATTATTTTCATATGTAGAATACAAGCTTGTATCAACTAAAGAGAAAAATTACAGCACAGAAAATAGCAGCTGATCTTCAGTCATTTAGTAATACAAACCAAATCTTCAAGGAATAATATTTTAGAATGAAGCAGACAAATTAAATTATGCCCCTACTAAAAGTCTTGCACATATGTACCAAACACCTTCCGACTTATTGTAAAACAAAAGTGAAAACTAATGAAAAAAAACTACAATTTAATGGAACATGACTTGCCTTTATTCCTTTTTTTTTTTTTTAAGCAATATCTTATGGCAAGAATACATTTTTAATTGAGATGCTTTTATTCACTTCTTTCATGAATAAAAAAAAAAAGAATTTATTTTTCTCCAAGTAAACTGTCTGTACATTTTATTTTGAAATCCTATCCCATATGTAGGAAAGAGTTCTTAAAAAGCCTCAAAAACTGAAGAGCTCTCTTTCTCCAACAGAAAATGGTGAGACCACCAGCTCTTTCACTGTCACTGTCGCACTTCCTCAACAAAGACGTGTGCTTTGTCAGAAGGATGCATCTGTGTTATCAGTCCTAGCTGTCTCACGTTTCGTTCATCCAGAGACTGAAAGTAAACCTGCAGCTTGATCCTACGAGACACTGAACCTCTCCCATGCAGGTGGAGACTCAATATATCAAGAATCAACTTTTACCCACTTTATTTAGAGAATCTGTGAAGTATTGGGAGGTATCAAAGACATTTGTTCTCTAAAGGGCTTTTTGTTGCACTAATAGCATATTCAAATATTTGTGCGTTCAATAAGAAGTTGCGTGAAAAGCTCGAAGTAGAAAATTATCTTAGAAAGAAGAGATGCTGAGGATGATTTTTGTCTAATCACAGACTTACCAGGCCACCAAGATCTGAGAGCCAGAGGGCTGACAAGTCTTGTTGTCTGGATTCACAATCATGGGGTTCAGAATGAGCAGAGCATTCACAGTCACAACCGGTCTGGCTCTGAGGGACAGAAACAAAGTTCACTGCATAAAGTAGGAGCACATAAGTACTAGATAAGCACTTAAGTGAGATGGTCACAAAGAATCTCTAAGTGTAGAGTTACTTGGAAAAAAATACTTTTATAATGCTGCTCCTACCCAAAATTCTCTTTGTTTTTTGGCAGAAACCATGACATTTCTTTACCAAGACATTTTCATAGTTCTTCACAAAAAAAGCACAGGTTAAGAGCAGACAATATCAGGGAAACAGTATGCTGCACTAACAGTAGACCTGTCCTGGGATATGGGCACATGAGAAACATTTCAGCACAGCGGGCTTTCACAAGGGACCAGAGCTGCTGTGTAGGAATTAGAGGAGTCCTTTGGCCGTTACTTTATAAACTGTCAGATTTGTGTTTCTCCATGAACACTGACATAAGCAGACTTGCTATCTCTGCCTTAGATACTTCAAAAAAAAAATGAAGATGATGTGTTTAAAATAGAAGTCATTCTAGAATTATCTGAAGCCAATAATGAAGTAAACTGTCTGACACAGAATCACGTCTTAAGACAACTGACTTTGTAAACCACGAATAATCAGCACAGAAAATTCTGCTGAGTATGTGAGTAGATGGTTGTGGTGATGGAAAACAACCCCCTGAAAAACAAGCTGCTATGAGTAATCAGCTCATCTGCTATTGAGAGCAATTCAAAAGAGAAATAAAAACAAAATTCTGTTGTTTTTTTTTTTTGGTTTGTTTGTTTTAAGACAGTAATACCATTTTACAGTAACTTACATAATTTTGGCAAAAATAGCTTACAACAGTTACTTTCCTCATATTTTAATCCACAGTTGAGTTTTCAGAATCTTTTTGCACTGCTTTAGCAAGGCACTCAAAAATAAAATTACTGCCTACATTCCTGTGCAAAAGGGAAAATGCTTTTTTTCAAGCAAATTTCCATTAATAAAACTATTTCTCCAATATGACAAGTTATGCATCTGATACACTCTGTCCAAGAAACAAAGATTGAAGGCTTCTTGCTTGCTATTGGCTTTCTTAAATAAAATACATTTTTTATTGCTGCCTAAAGTGCACATTGGATGTAATTCCCTACTTCAAATCCTGTGCTGTTCAACCTAAGCTATTGCAAAATGATGCACTGCGAAACATTTGCATGATTCCAAAATATAGAAGTAGGAAAACCAGGTTTTCTCACTGTGTTGGTACTGAGAGTCAAAATAAGTTAACAAACTCGTGGTTTACAAAATTCTTCAGCTTTGACAAATACTCATCTGGGAAACAGAACAACAGGTTCTGTTGGGAACAAAGAGAAGACAGGGAAGAATCAGGAAATACAACCACACTGCTGCAGTAATGGATGGTGAATGTTTAAATGCAAAAAACTGTCTGCATGTGTAGCAGCAAATTTTCATTTTTTGATTTGGTAGCTATACTTTATACTCATGCTCAGACAGTACATTTACTGAAAACCAGAAATCAGCAACAACTCTGGAAATTTGCAGAGTGGGATCTCGTACATCTTTTCTAAACTGAGGTTAAAGCAGCATCTTTATTTCTATTAAATCATTTCTTAATGTTTATAAGCTCCAAAGAGGCAAGAGTCACCAGAAAATCCGGATTGCTTACTACTACCATTCTCCAGAAAAGATATGAATTTTCAGTGTCGTCCCTTATAAACTTCTCTTTTATGTAGTGAGGGCTTCTGACTATATAGGACTGTGTGTGAGGTTGCTTTAAAGTACACTATTTTCTCCTGTTGTAAATCAACAGCATTTGCTGCTTATAAGCTGTTTCATTTATCATCCGTAATCAGCACCTTTTACACATTGCAGCAGAGAAACCCAGAAATGTGATATTTGTTTATAGACCTCCCACTAAAGCTGTAAAATTAAAAATGCTTTGTATTTATCACATACCTGTAAACAACTGCTTTTCCAGCTCCAAACGCACCTACAATTAAATCTGGAAAAAGAAAACAGCTTCAGAAAAACTACATAAAAGGCTCAGGCACATTTTTTTTCCAGCCTAAATTAGACTACTTACATTTAGAATCACAGAATCACAGTAACATGAAACAAATGTGAAACTCCTACTTTCTGAGCCTTTTCTTTTTCAACACTGTATCTGAAAGAAAATGTTTCAATGTTGGCAGAGACCAACACATAAATATCTTTGTTGCATCCAGAATTAGTCTGTCTAAGACAGGGTCAGCTTGTAATAAAGAGGAAAAAGGATGCCACCAGCACCAATACATGTTATTCCAAACCATCAGTTACCTGTGACACAAAGAGATGCAAACCCACTTTGTGGTCACCCTCATGCAGTTCACATTTAAAATTTTTGGTGTTTCTTCTTGACAATCCCCCAAATCCTCCTTTGTCATTTGTTCATTAATTTGGGCGTTACATATATGGGACCACAAATATACTGTGTAGATCTGAGGACAGCTGATTTCATAGTCACTAATGTTTGCAGCATTGTAAGAGGATGTGCTAAGGCTCATAACCAGCTATCAGTTGATTGTGATCTTTTTCCCCACAAGTCACCATTTGGAACAAACAAGTTCAATAACACAAGCACTACACTGGGCCTTGGGCACATCTTTGTTACTGAGTATGAGCCTGGGTTAAAATCCTACAGGCTCAAGTATTTCCTCTGTCTGGAGCCCCCATATAGGGCTCTCTGGAGTGATCCAGACTGGCTAGCTGGAAAGATCTTCAGCTTTGACTGGAGAAAAGCCAGAGCCAACCAGTGGGGAATAAAGGATCAGCTTTTTTCTGCTGCCTCTAGCTGAAATCAAGGAAGGGAAAGATCTTTGTTTCCTTTTCAGTCCTCCTAGTGAAGTGTCCAGCTGGGCATCCCTTTCACTCTACTGTTTATGATTTGATTTACAAATGTACAGTTCAGTAGACAAAGTCTCACAATGGATCTTGCAGAGGAACAGATTGGCAATCTAAACTTATCTGAACAAATCCATTAAAGAAGTAGTCAGGGTCAAAAAACAAACCTTTGTTTGCTTGCTGTTTCCACAGGTTGTGCACTGGTTTGCTTAAGAGTCTCTGAAATCATGGAGCAACTACAAAGCCCTGATGCCAATTAGCATAGTGGATCTGGGCCGGCCTGAATGTTCTCCAGGGCTGTCTGCCTTTCAGATGGTCAGGATTTAACAAGTTTAAACAAGGACATCATATGGGCAACAGCCTGTCCTTCAACAGAATCCACTGACTAACGTCAGTCCAACGGGTCTGATCCTCTTTTTGTGCAACACTTACATTTTTCTGCTTCCACTGGCCTTACAAAATATGCTTCAGGGTCAGGAACGTTTAAAATAGCAGTGTTGTTTCTATCTCCTTTCTGAGACATTTATGAGTCCTCTTCACTAGTAGCTTTTATAGAGAACTTACACAGAGTCCCAAAATCTGAAGATACTTTCCCCTTAAATAAACAACTGATTGAGATATAACTACAAAAGCTACACAGCGCAAATGGCAGAAATTTCCCTGACAGCTCCATGTTAGCAGTATGCAGAGTAACCAAAAATTATTTAATACTGTTTTTGGAAAGAGAAAAAGAAAAAAAAAGGAAAAAGGAAAAAGGAAAAAAATCCAATACTATGAACGGTACTGTGAACAGGAAGGGAAGAAGGAGGGACTTTACACTGTATCTGCCATTTCCAGTTGTTGGACCTTCATCAATAATGCAACTTAATGTAGGATATTTAGTCCAGCATGGACTCAAAAGGATTCAGTGCTGTGCTATGGCAGAGACAAAACAGGCAGATATCCATGATTTATCTAGATTCGGGACTTGTAATCATTTCATAATGTGATCTTTCATTAAAATGTAAACCACTCCAACCCAACTGTGACACCATTACCACTGAGGTCCTTACCACAGGCACAAGGTAAAGCTTGAAAACACTCCTTGTGTGAGTCAAATTTACCAACCTGTAGCCTGTTTGAACCTGAAGATAGAAAGAATGACCCTGTGAGACTGCCTTCTTTGTGACAGAAGCCAGCTTATTTAACAACAGAAATTCATGTGTTTAGAGAGACGCCCCAGCCACCAAAACCTACCTTCCTGCACTGCCACCTTAGTCAGGCTCATGCCTGAGTGCTTCTCATTCTGCCCTGCCAGCAAGTAGGCTGGAGTGCAGAAAGAGCCACAAGTAGACACGGCCAGGATAATTGATCCAAACCTACCACTGGGATAATCTGTATTATACGGCATCATGTTCAACAGTAACACTGGGAAGAGTTGGCCAAGGGAGCTGCCATTGGTTGAGGACTGGCTCAGCACTGGTGAGCAATTGCAATGCACATTGCTTTTTGGTCACAGGACTTTTTCTTCCCATTTTCCCCCCCTTCACTTTTCTTGTAAAACTGTCTTTGTCTCAATCCATGGGTTTTCTAACTTCTGCCTTTCCAATTCTCTTCCCCTGATAGCTAGACTGGGGACAATTAGCCACAAAAGCACGAAATTACTGAGAAGGAATAATGTATTTAAAAGCAAATATGCAAAGAATAAACCATGCCTCATTTCTAGTAGTGACATATATGCTCTAACATAAGGACCAAATCATTATGTATTCAAGCAGAGGATTTACTGTAAGATCCATTAGGGTTATGCTTTGCTTTTACTTGTTCTAGTTTTATTCTTCTTTCTTTGCCTTAAGGGGTCAACTCCTATAACTACCACTAGGAAAAAAAAAAAAAAAAAGATTGATACAAATCCATGAGATTTGAATGCACATCAAGTTAGGGCACTCAAACACAGAAGTTATGAATTTGTTTTGTGTTCTGCAAAAAAAAAAAAAAAAAAAAAAAAAACAAACCAAAAACATTATAAATCATTTATATGAAAAGAAATGCATGTCTAAATTATCTGAAGTTTGGCAACTTTCCCCTCCTAAAAATAGAGGGAAGTTGTTTTTATTCATTGCCTGCTAATGCTGTGCATGCAAGGTCAATGATACAAAGGTCTCTAACTGGAGAATAAGGGTTTAAGAAGGAATTTGGAATTACATAGCAAAAAAACAACAACAACAAAAAACAAAAAACAAAACAAAACAAAAACACACAACAAAAAAAACAGCTTAACTAACTGCAATCCTTCCAAACAGAGGCCTGAAGAAAAACATATGAACATCTCTGACTGCATCTTTGCATTTGTGAGGGTTTTTTTTCAAGTCCTGAATGAAATGCATATAAATAAACAGAGAGAAGGATCTGACACACCAAATCTCCCTCACTCCTTCACTATGTCATGTTTTCAAGAGGACGAGGTACCTTTGAGGTTTAAGTAAATGGCTCTGGGGCCCATAACCACTATGCCCAATAGCTGAGGAAAAAGGTATTGAGTGACCATACAGCAATTTTCAACTTGCAACACAATGACACAACGTGAGGGTCGTATGCAAAGAAAATCTCCTGTGGATGCTACTAAAATCCCAACTGGCAGAGTTTGCAGAACTTAATCCTCAGACAAGAGTCTTTGACATGCGCTTAACTGAACTCTAGGAGCACTGAGTGATCCTAGTGTTTATTTCAAATTTTGGTTTGCTCTAAAGAAAAGGCTTCCAGGATCTTATCTGGTGAAAAATAAGCCATCTTCTGAAATAAAACTATCATAGACAGCTAAGGAAAAAACATTCACAGACAGCACTGGAGGCACACTGAGTTTTGTAAGCTCATCTCTTCACCTACACCTTCTATGTGGCGGTGCTAAAGGGCATAATGCTGACTGAACCTTCAGCCAGCCAAAGAGAATAAGTAGATCAACAAAATTCTACCCCCAGTTATTCACTTCAGCAAATTCTTTGATCCCCTGCCATTTTTAAAGGCTATCTCCATTCCCTGTGAGAGATGCATCCCCAGGGAGCTGAGGCAGGGAGGATCATGGGGTGTGCTGACACTTCATGCTCACTCAGCCAGCCCAGCAACCCGAGAAGAAATGGCCACAGCCTGGTATGCCATTGCTCCTTGTGGGGAGACAGAGGCCAAGAACAACAGCCAGAGAAGAACTATAGAATCTGCACACAATTCATTTATGAGAGACCCAGAAACTAAATAACAGACAGATGAGTCACCTCTCCAGCACAACCCTATCAGGATACAGCCATGAGTGTTTACTTTACGGGCTCTGAACGGTTTGCTGACAGTGTTAAACAGCACAGTGTGCAGTTTGTGAGCTTAATTATGGAGTAGAAGTAGTAACTAGAAAATAATTAGAATTCTGAATAGAGGTACTACGGGAAGTTTCATAAAAGACCAAGAAATCTGTGTAACTGGAAATCTTGTTAAATACTGTTGTGAGTCTTTCTTGTTCCCTTAGTTAATTAGGGCCAGGAAGGTCCACTATCAGATTCCTCCTCTTTCTGCTTTCTAGGATTTTAGTGATCACTGACCTCCCAAACCTCAGCAGAATGGAATAAAATTTCCTTTAAATGGCCATTACTACATTCCTTTAAATTGACCATAATGAAAGACACAGTGTTAACCATTCAGTCAACCTTTACTCAAGGATTTTAACTGAATACTATATGCAACCATCACTCAAACCATAATCACTATCTTCTATGATAGAAGAATGATTCTCAACTGCCTTGATCCTTCCTTTTCAACCATTCTGTTAGCAGATTTGTTAAGGATAACAGGCATTGGAAAAGGATGCCCAGAGAGGTCGTGGCTGCCTCATCCCTGGAGACACTCAAGATCAAGCTGCATGGGGCTCTGAGCAATCTTACCTAGTTTTAGGAGTCTCTGTTCATTGCAGAGGATATGGACTTGATGACCCTTAGAGGTCTCCTCCAACTCAAATGATTCTATTATTCTGCCATTCAAAAGCTAATTCAGTGCTCCTCTTTTTGTCTGGATGAGACCTGAGACCCTTCATAATACAACGTTGTTATCCACTCCATCATACCAATAACAAATCCAAAAAGAGGCAGTTACCATTCTACC